TGGTAACAACAGCAGCAACAGCAGCAGCACAACGAGCACGATCAGTTGCTGTTGCTGTTGCTATAGATGTTGGTGTTGCTGTCGTTGTTGTTGTTGTTGCTGCTGCTGCTGCTGATGCTGCCGGTGTTGTTGTTGTCGTCACTGTGGTTGATGTGGTTGCTGGTGTTGCCGTTGTTGCTGCTGTTGTTGTTGTTGTTGCTGGCGGCTGCGGCGCGGGGATGGTGGTGCTGTGTTGTCATTGTCACTGTCGCTGTTGCTGCTGTCGTTGTGGCTGCAATTGTCGTCATCGTCGTCGTTGTGGTTGTCACTGTCGCTGTCGTTGCTGCTGTAATTGTGACGGCAGTTGTGGTCGTTGCTGCTGTGGCTGTTGCTGTGCTGTTCCTGTTGCTGTTGCTGTTGCTGTCGCTGTTGCTGTTGCTGCTGCTGCTGCTGGTGCTGCTGCTGCTGCTGCTGCTGTTGCTGCTGTTGCTGCTGCTGCTGCTGCTGTTGCTGCTGCTGCTGTTGCTGTTGCTGCTGCTGTTGCTGTTGCTGTTGCTGTTGCTCTTGTTGTTGCTGTGGCGGTAGCAGCCTTCTCCGCAACAGCAGCAGCAGCGGCTGCTATGACATTCCTCGCTGATTACTCGCTACGACCATCACTGTATATATATATATATATGTATGTATCAATGTCTCTCTGCGTGTGTGTATGTATGCATATATGCATATGCATATGCATGTGCATATGCATACGTATACGCATACGTATATGTATATGTTTATGCTTACGTTTTAAGTATATGTATATGTATATCTGTATCTGTATATGCAAATGTATATGTACATGTATACATATACGTATATGTATATGTATGCGCATGCAAATACATTGATAGACAGAACAGTAGATAGGTAGATAGGTGGATATATCACTATCACTATCCTCATCGTCATCATAATAACCATCAGCATCATCACACTCGTTGTTGCCGTCATCCTCACCAATACGTCGAGCTACTCGTGGTAAGAACTACAGGAAACCGTCTGTCATCTGTTTACCTCGCCCGCGACACTCAGATTCTTGGACCATAGCAAACTTCAATCTCGATAGGAACTATGAACAACACCAGAATGACGAAATTCTGAGGCTCCCTGAACCCGGCCCTGCCTAAGCCCTAATCCAACGAGGACCCAAGCCCTGAACTTAAAAGCTTGAACCCCGCGCCGTGATCGGCTGCAAGGAGGTTTCGGGCAAAGGCCTACACCAAGGTTTGGACAGCTAATGTAGGGTCTTCTTTAATTAGACTAGGGCTTTAGGCCGTTAATACTGTATACTTACCCAAAGGAATTTCTACATGAGATGTTTCTTTTGTCAGTGTACGCTTCCTCAGTCCGCTTTTCCTGTAGCCCAGCCAAGCTTCGTCCCCAAGTCTCCCAAAACCCTAAACCCTACTCTAAACCCTAAACTCTGGAAGTCCCGAGGCCTGGCTCTTCTTGGTGTTCTTCTTCACACTCGGCTTCTTCAGAACCTGACATCCGGTCCAGCTCGGGGGCTCACGGTTACTCGTGCTTTGGAAAGCCTTCAAATCCGGTACCTGAGGCATGACACCTCGCTTCGTGAGTGGGGTTGCAACGGCATGTGGGCCAGCTTATCTTATCACACACGTTCCGCGAAAATGACAGATGCCACAGACGACTGCAGATTCAGCTAAGTCGGCAGCCTGCAGCGCATGACTACGTAGAATGGGCGTCACGCCGAGGTTGGGCCAGGGATCAAAGATGGAGGAGACACAAGGTAACTTTCCCGAGCCTGTGGGGCTTTGCTGCCCTTCCCCATGGCGACGGCACCTGGCAGGCCAGTGACATGCAGTGTTTCTTGACATCTCTACCAACGACATCCTGTGTACCAGTGCATACACCCGCACGCACACACTTTCTGGATGCATGCATCTACAGAGAAGTGCAATCATTCCTACATGGACATAGGATTGACTGACAATCACATAAGACTTGCCATGAACACAACGATATCGGCATGGACATAGACAGGGCAATGGACATACGCGTAAATATTTTGACACATGCACTATGCACATGTCACACGTGCAATCACACACACACACACATATATATATATATATATATGTATATATATATATACATACACACACACACACCCGCACACACACACACACACACACTCACACAAGCACGGCAACTAACAGACATTTACCCAGACACCTGCACGTGTACACATGCCTATGTATGTACGTGCATCTACCTGCCTACCTACATACATAGACACGTACAAACACACTCACTTGCATGCTCGAAGATCCATGTTGATCGCTGCTGGTACACCAAAGCGAGACTCAAAAAAAGGAGCTTGTCCCGGCCGGCCTTGCTCCAGGTCCGGATGTCAGAGTGGCAACGCTTTAAGCCGGTCGGCGCAAGCCAGGGCCAAGGTGAAAACGAGAAGACTCATAAGTATGATCGCAACCATTAGCCATTGATGTAAGCGGAAAAGGCAGCAAAGGCCATAGGAACATGTACTAGAAGTAAGGGGAATTCGGGCAGACTGATAGTCGAAACAAGATGCTGCAAGCATCTGTAAAAAGGATAGCCACGCTTTCCTTCGGATATGCGCAAGATGCATCACGCAAGCTGATGGTTGAGAAGACTTGGCCTCGGGGAGGCTTTGAGGAATCATTGGGGTTCAGATTGCTGCATCAACCAATAATCCAACAGCCCTGACTTTTCAACAAAAAATACTACACTGCCCCAAAGTCTACAGCCGACAAGTTCAGCCGTGCATCCTGAAATGCGAAAGTTTACGACAGCAAGACTCGCTAAGAGATCAACAGACCAAGCAAAAAAAGGGTCCTACGTTGCACACAAACACAAACAAAGTGTCCCAACAGGAAGTCCAGGAGCCTTCCTCCAGACCGGAAACTGCTCGTCCAGTACACCTCAACCCCAAACGGTTGCACTATCATATCTTCAGGGTCCCAACAAAGTGGACGCCCAAAAAGTCAGCCCCGAAAAATAGGACGATTCATCCTGCGCTGCACCTTTGTTGTTTGAACATTCCGACTTCCCTGTTTCTGCTGTAGACAAAGACGAGGCATACTTGTTGCAGATACTCCTCAACCTCAAACTTACCTTCAAACCCTAAACCCCTAAACCCTAAACCCTGCAAACCCTTAACCCTGAACCCTGAAACTTGCCTTCAAACCCTCCCCAAAAGTCCGGTTACCATTATTGGAGCTGTCCAGAAGCCCCTTCTGCCGGCGCCTCCGAAAGTCGCGCAGCTGCCTCAGATTCCGTTCATCTGGGCTTCAAGGAGCCTTATGCTGGGGGTCCTTAGAATAGGGGTCCTACTATATAGGATACCATATACTATATAGGATACTATAATAAGGGTCCTACTATGTAGGATACTATATTCGGGTCAAACTATTTTCGGAAACTCCCACATAGTTTCTGTAGCTGAGGTCTTAGGGGCCTTCGTTAGCTCATCCTCACAAGCCCATCTTAAACTCCACATAAGTTCTAGATAACCTCCAAACTCTACATGAACCTAAGATACCCCAGAGAACAAAGTAATCCGAAACGCTACAGCCTAAACTCCAAAGCCGGCAGCCGACTTAAGCCGTTAAGCCCTAAAAAGCAGAGGCCTCCCCAACAATCTCGGCAAGGCTTCCTAGATCTGAAACTTTATACTTACAGAACCCATATGGGAGTTTCCGAAATTCCGAAAATAGGGGACCCTGATGTAGTACCCTAAATAGTAGGATTTACTAGGATCCTTATTGCAAGGACCCCCAAATTTTCGGAAACTCCCATATAGAGCCCAAAAGTGAAAGCCTTAGATCACCGCCCCTCGCTGAAGTGCCAAGGCACTGAGGGAGCCTCTGGGACTTCGTAATCCAGCGGCACCTTTGGATTACTGTCTGGTGCTTAGCAGGGAATGGGGGAAAGGATCCCTAAAGTAGTACCTATGTCATCCCCAATAGTAGTTTCGAAATCCACATTCCCTACTAAGAACCAGACAGTTTGGGGTCAAAGGCAGATTTAGGGCTTAGGGCCTTAGGGTTCGACGGTGGTATTGGGCTGAAGGTTTCAGGGTTTGGGATTCAAAGACTTTTGGGTCTAGGGTTTGTGATTTGGGGTTTAGGGTTCGGGGCTTTTGAGCTTCGGGTTTAAGGGCTTGGAGTTTCAGTTTTGGTGATTTGCGGCTCAGGGCTGGCGAAGCCCTAGCACCTTGTAACATCTGCACAGAGACAGACAGAGAGAGAGAGAGAGTGGAAGCATCCCGCACCTCACCACCTTCGCGACTTTCACGAAAGCCAGGTTCGACTTTAGAGGGAAAGACTCTTAACTGTCGCCGACAAGCTCGACACCAAGCGGAGACCTACGTACCTGCTTGCGCCTTCGCAGTAACAACTAAAGCCACGAGTGCTACACCCTCAAGCACCAACCTAAGAAGAACTAAATCCGAGACCTGGCAACCCCTTTATCCTCAACCCTGAACTCTCCAACCTTGGACCCAAGAAGCCTAGAATCACGCTACGACTAAGCCAACATCCTAAACTCTAAACCCTTGAAGCCTACCCTAAACCCCCTAAGTCCTAAAGTCGCCTCCATCGATTCGTCCAGCGGGAGCTCGTGCCAGGTGCCCCCCAAAGAGCTGGAGCCCGGACGACTCGGCAGAGGGCGGCAAACCCTAAACCCCGAGAGAATGGGGGCCCTTGTAAGATGCACCGTGGCTCTAGGAGTCAAGAGGCAAAGACATAGGGCTTGGGAGGGATGTTGGCTCCAGGTATTTAGTGTCGAAGGGTTGGGAAGGGCTGCCGGAAAGGGTTGAAGACTTGAGGGTCCATGTTTCAGCTTTGCGCGCGGAATGGCACGAAGCCTTCCTTAGACCCATGCGATTACCCTAAACTTTCTCACACTTTGGGGTTTTTGAGGGTTTGGGAAGTGTAAATAAGCCCGAAACCTATAAGCCTGAAACCGTTTAGGGTTTACGCATGCTCCGCTTGGCGCGCACCTCGCCGGCGGCGTGGCCGTGGAGGGCGTGCCATGGCGGCGTCGTAGCCGCCGAGGAGCAGCCCATGCCTTGCTGTGTTTAGGATGAGGGTTTTTAGAAAACCCTCTTACATGGAGGGCTGTTAATAAAGACCTTCTATATGATTACAATAAGCAGAATAATTTCATAAGTAACATAAATGGAATAAGTAGAATAAGGTTAGAGCCTTAATGATTAGAACAGGGTTTAGGGTTAGGGGCCCTTAATAATTAGAATAGGGCTAGGGCCTTAATGATTGGAACAGGATTCTGGAGCCACGTTATGGTATCATTGTAAGGAAACTATAACGGTATACTCTTCATGAGTATTCCGAGCCCTACATTACCGGCGCCCAGGCTTCTGGGGATGACCTAAACCCTAACCCCTTAACCCTAACCTCTAAACCCTTAAACCTTAACCCCTTAACCCTAACCCCTAAACCCTAAACCCCTAAACCCTAAACCCCAAACCCGAAAGCAGGTCGAGGATCTCCCCACATCTTGAGCCCCAGGAAACCCCAAATCATGAAGGGTTGAAAGATGCAGCGACTGCGGGGATGTGCCTGAAACCTGCAGCTCTTGACTTCGGGGCTTTGCAAAGCTCAGAGTTTGGACTTTGCCGGGGCCTTACAGTCGCAGATACTCCATGTGGAGTGGCAGGGCAAGAAGGCTGAGCCTCACATCACGAAGTCTTCAACTCGTCTACCTCGGCAACCGAAATCCCTCAACCAGGGCTGAGCCCAGCACCCAGCGTGCTGGGGTTGGGAGTACCTTCGGACTGTCGGGAGGTTCCCTAAGCAGGGCTTCAAGCAGAGCAGGCAGGCTGGCAAAAGCTTCAGAGATCGAAGACTTCGAGGACTTTGGACTTTGGGTCGTCGAGTTTCGTGTTTCAGATTTGGGACTTGAAAGTTAACGGTGCAGGGCTGGGGTTAAGGTTTGGTGCTCGGCTGCAAAAAGGTACATGTAAATATGTTTGTATATCCGTCCATACACACATACAAACCCCAAAGGGTATGTACGACTTGCACATATATATATATATATATATACATGTATATGTATATGTATATATAGAGATATACATACACATGTGCTTACCTGCCTACCCACCTACCTACACACATGCATACATGACAGACTACACACTTGAACAAATAAACAAGATGCAGACGTACATGAATACAAGTACACCAAACATGTGCATATGTGAGTATACATATATAGATATGTATGTGTATATATATATATATATATATATATATATATATATATATACATTTCCTTTGTTTATTTGTGTCATATGTGCAGGTGGGTGGTTTTACACTCGTAGGTAGGTAGGTAGGTAGATATATACATCGAAGGATAGATAATTAGATCGATCGATGGATGGATGCATGGTTAGACGGATACATGGATCGATAGAAAGATAGATAAATGGGCAGATAAAGAGCCAAACAGATAGACAGATAGATAGACTATGGATAACTGAATAGCTGGATGGAGAGGTCGATAGGAAGATTATACAAAAATAGATACATAGATAGAGCAATAAATCGAAAGATAGAGGAGGAAGAGAGTGAGAGAGACAGATAGGCAGATACAGACAGACAGACAGACAGATAGACAGAGAGAGAGACAGATGTACAGATTGATACACCGACACACGGGTAGATGGATAGTTACAACTAGCTAGCTAGCTGCCTGTGGCTAGCTAAATAGATAGATGGATAAGTACATCGATAGATGGACCGGCAGATAAAGACACCGATAGATAGATAGTTAGACAGACGGACAGGCAGACAGATAGGACAGAAGAAGCTGTGGATAGCAGGCTTGATACACAAACATAGACAGATAGATAAATATATATATATACAGATAGATAGAGAGATAGATAGATAGATAGATAGTAGATAGATACATAGATAGACAGATATGAAGGAGGAAGAGAATGAGAGATAGATACTGTAGGTAGGCAGATAGATGGATACATGGACAGATGGAAAAATGGGCAAATGGAAAGGTGGACAGGGCCTTCGACAGGGCCGTGGACAAGCTGACAGGTAGGCAGATAGGTAGATAGGCAGATATAGGAAAAACACATAAAATGTTTCCATATACAAATATATATATATATATATATATAAGAAGTGTGAGAAATGTGAGGTGCATAGAGAGGAGGGAGGGAGACAGAGAGAGAGAGAAAGAGAGAGGCAGAGAGCAAGACATTTATCCAATGAAGTACAACATAGCAAGCAGAAACCCAACTGATCGGGGATGCCAAATTTTGGCTGCTTCCTATCCATCAATCCAAGCCTTAAAGCTCGGGGTTAAGGGCTTAGGTCTTGTAGCCCAAAACCGAGCTCCGCCTGCTCTTGATCTGCTGCGGGCGCTGCCTCCACAATTCCTGACACGTAAGCTCCGAAAGCACACGTTTCCATAGAGGCAAAACCGGGTTTGGGGTTGAAGGGCTTCGGACCTGTTCGGTGCATAGGGTCCCTGTAGCCTCCGGCGTAGGCCGACCAACCCTCCGTCCCTAGCAAAGAAGTGGTTGCTTTCCCCCCCAATGTTTACAAAAATTCTCGGTACCCTTCAACTCTGAAGACAACCCTTGTGCTAGCAACAAGTCTGACATGTGAAAAGAAACATGCTTCAAGGCCTGGAGACTGAAGACCCTGGCGAAATACATTGAATCCTTTAGAGACTTTAGAGTCCAACCCTCTCGTGAGTCATATTCCCTACCCCTCAAGCTGCCAGAAACTTCGAAATCTCCATCGCTGTCTAAGAGTGAGGGCCCCAGAACCGAGATACGGTTGATGATATAAATCCTGCATTATCATGATGACCCTAAACTATGGGAATTATGGTATATTCCTTATTATGGGTAATGAAGGATTTATACCATCAACAGTAATTCCTCAAATGGCACCTTGTGCAGGCGCCGTTTGAGGCTGCGGCGGCGCGCCGCCCATGCCCGGCAAGGGTGCCAGGAGGGTTTGCTGGCTCAAGGGTTGCAGAAGGGCCTAAAACAGTGGAGTTCGGGAGTCTGGGCTCCAGATAAGCAGCCATTGCTTTCGGATGCTTCTCGGGGTTTTGGCTTTTCGGGGAGCTTAGGGTTTTCAGGGCTTCAGCGGTCAAGGGGCCTTGGAAGTCTAGCCGGTAAGGATTCGGGATGTGCCGGGTCAACGAAGTCCAAGCCGTGGGTTCCTGTCATGCATCACGTGATGCCTGTCTCGAACAGCTCAAGAGCAGAATTCGCGATAATTTCCAACATCACATAGGTTTCGCAGGGCAGAGCATAGGAAGCTGCAAGACAGGACAAGAGCATCCATCAAGAAATCCGGGAACCACCCGCCGCAAGACTGCACTTCAACTCTCTCTGGACCCTTATGTACTTCCAGCCTGCAAGAGCAGAAAGGAATCATGAATGTCCGAAAGCTCTCAACGCTGTAGACTGGTGTTACGCATGTACAGATCTGTCCACCTGACACTCAAGCTTTTATGCTCTTATTTCAGCACTGTCCGCTGCTACAATCGAGTGCGGCGGTCCTGCCCCAAGGCAGCCCGGCCAGCAGATGAGGTTCCAGCGGCGTATTGCGTCATGATACGAATTCCAGTGGAGGGTCCTGTGCTGTAGCAACACTGTAGTAGGCGTAGGGAAAGCCCCAAGCACCTCATGAACACCCGCTTGGGTTCTTCGGCACCCGAAGGAGTTTCACCAGTTGGATGGATGCGTGGCTCGACAGGGCCATTTCGGCTCTCCTGCCTCCACTCAAGGGCGAGAGGGTCCACACTCCACACACGGTTGGGACTGGGCCAACGACAGCGTTCAGGCCACTTTGTGGGGCCCGATACCTGGCGTGGCGAGAGCCATGGACAGCCACTCCAGCTCCATCTAATCTAGATTCAAATTCGGGACTGCTTCAGACCCCGGCCGCCGTGGGCCAACGCATAGCATCAGCTATGTTTCATGCACTTCAAACGGCTTCAAACGGCCAGGGCACGCGGCAAACAACAAAATCACGTGCGCATGCAGGCTCGACATTCATTTCGAGGACCCATGTGTGGCAGAGGAGTCTGGACCTGTACGCCACATGGGTTTCGAGTACCAGCCAACTTGAATTAGGGCCACGGCGCTGACTCCAGCGCTCAAGCGACTTCTCAGCTGAAGTCCTTGTGAGGATACCTCTTCGCAGAGAAAGGTCGCAGCTGGGCAGGGCTGGGCTTTACTGGGTCTCAGGAGATCCAGAGTTGTTCGTTCCTGTGTGTTCATGATTGTTCATGTGTTCTGTGCGCTGAGGACATAGGCAGGATTCCAGTGAGGGTGGGTGTGATGGATAATGATGGAATACAGGGAATAGCTGTGTAGTTTCCACTCCATAGCTGTGATAGCAACTCATCTGAAGTGCATGACCTATGACATGTGGAGCCGGGGTTTAGGAAGGCCCAGCTTTGCCGTCGAGAGGCGGTTCGGGGGAGTTGGTGTATGCCTGGCCAGTGACCCACACGCTTCCGTCGTTCTTCACAAAGAGGGTGTGCCACCAGGCGGAAGAGAGGCTGGTGACATTGTTCATGATCTGGACCGGTGTGAGTCGGCTGGTCCGCGTCCCGTCGCCAAGATGGCCTTCGGCGTTGTAGCCGACGGACCACACCGTTCCGTCCAACTTCAGGAACATGGTAGAACGACGATTTGGTCCAATATCTTTCACGTTGCTCATCACTTGCACTGGTGTAGTCTTGCTGGTGGTTGTGCCGTCTCCGTGCTGTCCGTTGTCATTCCATCCGACTACCCAGCAAGTTCCGTCATTCTTCCTGGTTCCACCACACAGAAAACATCCCGTCACATGTTTATAAGACGAATGCAATACGAATCGAAAGAAGTTGCAAACGACTCTCCACTAAAACTGGAGAGCCTAGCCAAGACTCATGAACCAGGTCAGCGAGTCCCCGGCCACCACGTGGTGTACATCGGTCATGACTTGCACCGGAGACTTCCTCGTGGTGGTCGTGCCATCTCCCAGCTGTCCCTTGTCGTTCTTGCCACAGCCCCACACGGTCCCATCTGTTTTGAGGAACATCGTGTGGGTGAAGCCAACTGTAGCTTCCTTCACATCACTCATCGCAAGGTAGGGCGTTAATCTCGTTGTGGTTGTGCCGTCGCAGAGCTCCCCGTTACTGTTTGAGCCTGTCATCCATGCAGTTCCATCTGTCTTCAACACGGCAGTGTGCGTGTGCATACAAGAAATTGCTGCGACGTCAGTCATGATCTGAACGGGGATGTATCTGTCCGTACCTGAGCCATCACCGAGGGTTCCCTTTTCGTTATATCCGGTGCCCCATGCCGTCCCGTCTTCCTTCACGAGGAAACTGGACCAGCCAGCACCCTCCGCGGTCCTCACCTCGGTCATCACCTTAAACGGCGCCCACTGGCGGCCACTGTTGGCGTGAGTTCCATCACCGCGCTCTCCCCGAGAGTTTTGCCCGAAGTGCCAGGCGGCTCCATCTCTATCAACGATGAGGGTGTGATGTCCTCCTCCGTGTACGGAGGGCAATCGCTGCTTTGAAGTGGAAGTGGTGCTGGTCCGGCAAGGATTGCAGGTGTTCAGCTCAAGGCTGCCATACCAAGACTGGTTTGCGTAGCTGTCCGACCACTCGGCCATGCAAGGATAGACCTGAGGAACGAGGCAAGGATCCTCTGTGACCAGTTCCGGGTAGGACAGGTTCAAGTGGCCAGTGCTCACGATCTGCTCCTCGCAGCGTTGAAGAGCCTCCTGTTTCTGCACAAGGTCCGACGCGTTCAGAACATTCAACTTGCAGAGTATGTGTGCGGCCGCAGTAAAGTCGGCTTTGCTTGAGCTCTCTGCAGCCTCTGCCTCGGGAGAGATCACGTCAAGGTGATGCGCCGAAGCATCCCCGAAGCACCCCTTGTACACATCGCAAGTCGCGTCTTGGGTCTCTGTCCAAAGACAGAAGCTCTCCTCGAACCGTGTTTGCAACCCGTGGCACAAGCTCGTTTGATTGTGCTCTACACCAAGGCTTCCAATCCAGGCTTGTAACTGGCTTTCGATTTTGTCGGCGCCAGCCTGGAGCCAGGCTTGCAACTCGCTGAAGCACTCCACCCTCGACTGCCAGGGATCCGTGGCCGCCATATCCGCTGAGCAAGATGGAGTTGACAAGTTTGCCCAGCTCGCGCTGAGCTCTTTGTACTTTGCACCCTGCTCTACGAAAGCCTCATGCTCTGAATCGCGGCACGCGCCGTGCAAGGCCTTGTCTTGCGCAGCAGCCACTTCCAGAGCGGAGGTATTGGCTGCATCCCTGGCCACTGCGCAGGAGGCCAGACTTGCTGCCGAGGCTTCCAGCACTGCCTGGTGTGCATGGATCTGGGCGACACATTCTTCCTGCACCTGGAGCATTAGTTCAGCCATGCCGGCAAGGTCCAAGGTCGCAGCCCCTTCGGCTGCTACGAGACCGGACTCAGCCGCGAGAGGAGCACCTGCACCGAGCCGACTACAGAAGCGCTTCTCGTTGGCCTCCAGCGCCGATAGCAGGCTCTGCACCGCATCGTCTTCTGCGCCTGCAGTGCATCGCCCACACAAGACATCAGATAACCTGCCCTTCCCCTTCAATTAGCAGGCGGTCTGACCAACGACAGAAGCTAGAGTGAGAACTGAAGCAAAAAGACACCCGTGCTTCCATCTTCCATGCCCAAGAAGCCGAGAGCGAGGTTGCGGAGGCCTCGGATCTGCTCTGAGACTTGGCAAGCTGCCCTGTCCAAGGCCTTCGCAGTCTCTGGGCCGGGACCGCGCAGATGCTGTGCCTGCTGTGCCTGCAGCAGGGGCATGAGGCACAAGCTGACGAGGCCGATCATGGCCATGGCTTTTCGGGAGAACCAGGTCACAAAGATCACGCTGCAGCCAAACTTGATCCAATTCCAGCGGTGCACCGTGCTGTCTGCGCGACCTCATCCGTTGCTTGTGTTTGTGAGTGTGTGCCTGGGCCTGGGCCGTAGGCTAGTATGAGATACATGTTTGCGGCACACCCTCAAACACACAAGCATGTCCTGCATTTGCGGCTCGATCCCGCAACACATCTTCAAGGTACGCATAAAGAGGAAACTCAGGCCTTTCTAGTTACTGGTGGAACCCCGACAACCTCACCTACAAAGCCCTAATAGTGGAAAGCATTGCATTGTTGCACCAGCGCTCAGCACGCCTCAACAGGAACACTTTGTTTCCAGATGCTTCCAGCAGGTCAGCGCGGCTGACTAAACGTTAAAATCCCACACGGGGACCGCATGTTCGAGGCTTTAAACTGGATCGAAATTGAAATCGATTGGCATCAGCACGCTCAAGAATCGCTTAATCGCTTGATGCCCGGGCCCATGCGAGATGGTCCGCTGCACCCCACACTGGTGCTCATCACCCCACCCTGGCCTTGGCCCTGCTTGTCCGAGGCCTCTCAGCCGTCTGAGCACCTTGGAGGGCAGTCGTCTCGAAGGCAGTCGCCGGCACCGGGCGTATGGAACTCCATGTGGTGGCTCACACAGCCTCGATCCGGCGACCTGTGCCCGCTTGCATGGCAGGGCCAGTGGTGGAAGATGTCGGTTGCGACGCCCCCGCAACGGTCAGATCTTTCCTTGGCTTGTGCTTGGGTTGCGATGGGTTGCAGGCCTTGACGATGTTTCGAAGGCCCGCGAGGTCGCGTTTGAGAGGTGCTGATGACTTTTGGCTTTGGGGCACAGTGGGCTGGAGTCCGGCTGGAGAGGGGCGGATCCGAGCCGCACTAGCATTTAGGATTCTTATAGGGTTTGAGGATGTTTCGGGTTTAGAGTCTAAAGTTGAGTGTTTAGGGTCACTTGATTGGCCCCGAATCCCCCAAAGCCTCCGAAGCTCAAGCGCACCACACTGCATGGATGCAGTGCCGGGGAGTTCGGGAAGTGGTGCTTCGGACAGCGCGCTCGCCGGCCCGCACTCATGGCGCCTGAGGACAGAGCTTAAGAGTTCAGAGGGTGATTGCCTCACTAATCATTCTGCTTGGTAATTTGGACAGGATTTTGGGGAATATGGAAAAAACTAGAAATGGATAGGGGCTCCAGGAATAACGTCACAGCCGTAAGAGGCACCCCGACCAGTCTGCCCAGGCTCCTCCGAAGACTTGCAGGTGCTTGAACGGTACTTGCGGCTTTGCTACTCCCTAAACCCGAAACTCTTCCGGTTTGGAGTATGCTGGAGGGGTTATAAACTGGAAGACATGGGAGATGAAAAAGGTCGAGCCGAGCCACAGACGACAGCGCCGGCAGGGCTGTAGACTTGCCACATGTCCAGCTCCCGGCGGAGGGCGACCACTGTAGCAAAAGGAAAAGCGCAGCATCCAAACAATCCCGTCTGGCAGCCTTCACTGTCGTTTTGGGCTTTAGGGTGTCTGGGGGCCGCACCTGCATCCCAAGCTCAAACATTCAACAGAATATCTTACTATAGGGGTCTTACAATTACCTATAGTATTTTGGGGGTTCCTCAACATAATAATAGAAAACTGGGCCCCAAAACCCTATTCTAAGTATTTAGGCCCCTATCTTAGCCCCTCACGGAGGAAGGCTTCCAGTAGGCCAGGAAAGGACTGCCGAAGGGAGCAGACCAGCCGGACTCCAGCATCGTAACCTCACAGCAAACAAGAACACAAGCTTTCGCATCTCCCCATCATAGGCAATAAGGCTTTGGGCTTCATGTTGCAACATATGTTTGGGGACTGTACGTAGCACTATATTACAAAGGGCTCGAATGAGGTTTGGCGGTGTATGTTACCATAGAGCTACATTGCAAGTATAAGGGCATATGACACCTTCGACAGTCGCCGATCCTGGGATATCACGGGTTCGGCCACGCAGCACAGCTGCGCACACTTGAGGGCAGCATCTCCGTCAATGAACTCGGCCACGACAACCTGGAGAACACGGCATCAAACATCACAAGCTCCGGCGCCTCGCACCGTGAGCATGCGCATGCACAATGGCAAGAAGAACGGCATCCTGCGACTGAACTTGAAGAAGGCAGCGGAGCTATCCATGGCCTCGGGACTGTGCTCAGAGATCACCCTCTGCAGGAAGGAGGCCATGTTGTCGCACTCCTGGTGCGTGTCTCGCGGGAAATGCAGTTGGCAATCCGTATGTATCCATCCGTGTTTTTGTTTCTCCTGCTTTGCCTGACCATTCGTCTAACCAGCAGTCTCGGATTTGCCAAGGGGGTCGAGTCTCTGGTTGTGCGTCCCAAGGTGCCGCAAATATGGGCAAAATGACGGTCAACACTCAGTCAACACTGCCAAAACCCCGGGGAATCAGCAGATTTCATGATTCAGTAGGCTAAGAAGAACATAAGCTCTTTTGGCTTATTAATGTCCAGAACAGCAAAATGCTGGATTTCCCGTGTTGACTGCAGGGTTATCGTATGTTGGCTGTCATTTTGCATGTATTTGAGGGTTCTAAAGAAAATGTAGACTTTCTTCAGTCAGCTTCTTGAAGTTCAGAACAGCAAAACGTTAGATGTTCCTGCGTGTTCGCAATGTCGAAGAGTTGACTGTTGATGGAGAGAATTGCCGTGTTGTGTGTCGTGAGTCCAGGCACCCTTATTTGCAGAGTCAGTTTCCAGTTGCTGGACATGACGTTGGTAGGAGTATTCTGCCTCTCGGTGGATGGACGAAATCTTGCACCACGTGTATATGCATACTTCAAACGATTGAAACATCAAGCCCCGCCGCCCCTGGTTAACATTGGCAGCTAGGACTACCTGAGCCATTGAAACGAATCAGGCCTGCTGACTTTCACTGTCAATGTAGAAAAAAGGGAGCGCGGAGAGTCTGTAAAAGACAATTATGAAAAATGATGCAAGATTTTGGCCATCCACAGTAGTGATGGTGATACCATTGGGCACCTATGATGATGGTGATAGTGATGACGGTGATGAACGTGACCATGACCACAGATGACGATATGACTGCTATGACCTCCATCCTTGTCATCATCAGAATGAACATTGTCATTACAGTCTCTCCTCTTCGATGACAACGACATCACAATCATTGCGTTCAACTAACTTGAATCAACAGTATCATCCCTAGTGAAATCATCATCATCATCATCATCATCATCCTCACCTTGCCCATCAACAGTACCATCAACACAGCTACCATCGCTGAACACTTCTCACTGTCGTATTCTCTCTACTCGTCCGACGGAAGCTTGCGGTGAGCACTTCTGCGCTCGACGGAAAACCAGCTACCATCACCACCATCACTATCACATCATGTCACTTTCGGATCATTGCGTCATTGCCCCTAACCGTAAACCCTAACAGAGTAAACCCTGAAGCCCTGAACCGAATCCCTAATCCACGCAACCCTAAAGAGTAAAACTCAGCTTGACAAGCCTAACCCAAAACGGCTGATTCTGAACTCTAAAACCCTAGACCCTGTTCCCGGCCTCTGATGGCAAGAGAGCCCGGGCGTAGCGGAAGCCGTAGGAGCTAAGCTCCGCCAGCGGATCTACGACCACCACCTGACAGGCTTTTGTCGCATTCAGGGCTTGGGGTTTAGGACCTCGGCATTCTCGGAGGGGTACATCCCGTCATGGGTCTACTTCTACTGCAAAACACTTGTGCGTCGCAGGCTTAGAGTTCACAACTTTGGGGCGGCTTGTATGGTATAGGGCTCGAGAGTGTCGATTTTTAGGGTTTGGGGCTTGGGGTTGGGCATGTTAAATTTGCCGGGCGCGGGATTTAAGACGTACCTTGATTTTAAGCAAAAAACCAGAGTATTCTGGTGTTAAAAAGCAAAGTTTCAACCGACATCGGGAGTTTACTTACCATAAGATCAGGTGGTAAAGCTGAAATACGCAGACCGCACCCGGTATAGGTGTGCTTGGTAAGTCTTTAGTGCCGTGTCCTTGGTCAGCTGTTTGGGTTTCAGGGGTAAGAGTTTGAGCAATGTGCCCAGCACCCAGGGGCGTCTTAAATATTCGGCCGTATTTAAGAACCAAAGAATAGGCAATTCGGTAGGATTGTAACAAAGAAGCAACAGGAAGGCTTTGTCAGATGTGTGGAGTCTGTAAGGCCCCTCACGGGGGAACAGGGGGGGTCCTGAATCCCGCGCCCGCCTTAAATTTTGGAGTTTGGGGCGGGTTGAGCCTGAGTTTGCAGAAGCCTCCTGCCGAAATGTGACCACAGTCAGGTCGGGCTGTTCTGAGGCGACATCCTCAACTTTATCAAACCCTTAACCCTGTAACCTCAAAACGTAGTAACAGGACCTGGAAGTTCCGAAAATTTGGGGTACCTTATTTGGGGGCCCTTATGATACGGATCCTAATTAAGGGTACGAGATTAGGGTCCGGCCCCCTGTTTTCGGAAACCCCCACCTGGTATCTTAATGACAAGGTGGAGATGAGGTCCCGGAGCACCGTGGTCTTGCCACAGCTCGCAGGGCCCAGCAGCAGCAAGGAGCCCAGGGCAAGATGATGGATCGGTTCACTGACACCTGCCAGCCCAAATCAGCCCAAACAATTTCACGGTTGGAGTTTAGGTTTAGGGTTTAGGGACCTGGGATTTGCCTGGGGAAGCTACGTCCGAGTGGTATCCCGCCTGGCAGGAGCCGCGTCACGTGCAAGACCAGCGTATCAAGGCTCGTGCCGTGGTAACAGAGGCTGGCACGGTGTGAGGAGCCAGGGATGGGTTGAAGGCCGGAGCCTGCAGTTTTCAGCCCGAGCTGCTCCACCACGGCCAGGAGGTCGTGCTGTGACAGAGGGACTTCCGGAAGCTCGGAAGGGGGAACCCAGCTTGAGGCCAAGGCCACTTGCAAGGGCTTGCCGCTCCTCAGCACCAGCCGCTGGGCCTTGAACCTGTGAAGGAGTCGCACGTAGCTATTCAAGCCCATGGCTTCGAAGATCTTTGGCGGCATCTTGGAGAGTAAGCCTTGGTGCCATGCCGCGAATGTGCTTCGACCCTTGGACCCAAGACTTAGCTCACTTGCAGTCACTTGCTGGTCCAGAAGCCTTCAAGGTTGCAGACGCAGCGCTGAAGAGAGTAGGCTGAGTTTGCAGGGAGTGGTGCCGGAATCTGCGGCGGCTGGCTTCGTGGTCGTTGCTGGGGTGGCGGATGTGCCACTGATCTTGGAGGCTGCGAGGGCGCCCCTGCAGCCTCACAGCTTCACTCTACGTCGTAGTCTTAGTCCTCTTCCTGTCTTCGTTCCGACTTCCAGTCGATGGTGTTGCTATTGCAATAAAAGGCATGTTTCCTGGCAGTCGTTGCTTACTTCCCCTTTTTTCTGCTACTGCCGTCACGCAACGCTTCTTGAGTTCACTCCTCTCACTGAATGGCATGAATTCAATAATCCCAGACGGCCTTGAAGCCTACGGAGCTTCCGAAAATTAAGGATACCTCATTTGGGGGTCCTTATAATAAGGATCCTACTATTTAGGGTAGTATATAAGGGTCCCCCCTACTGACCTGACGACAGAAGTCATAAGCATTGACCGCAACCCTGCAACTGCTAAGAACGGGAGATGCTACCATTCTCAATCGACCCCAAACCCTAAAACCGTACCGCCCAAAATTAAGCAACCCTCAAACCCTAAAACCTAAACTCAATGACCATAGATCCTAACCCGAATAATTGTCAGAGCCTGAAACTCAACATCCAAGACCTGACTAAAACCGGAACGAGAGGACTCCAAAATGCAAAACTCAAAACACAATAACCCTAAACCCGAAACCGCATCACCAAAAGCAACTCAATAACTAACTAGGACCCTAAACCCCACAACCCCAAGCCCAACCAATAATATCAAAACCCAAAACCCTGAACCCGAAGACCCCGAAACCACATGGGTGGTTATCAAAATTACGGTCCCTGTTTGGGTACCCTAGATATAAGGTGCCGTACTATATTAACGTACCCAAGAAAGAACCCTAAGTTTGACCCCCCAAAGCACTTGCCATCGCTCCTGCTCGCTGGCCCTTCCTTGGTTCTCCTGCCCTCTGCTCACAGTTCGGCCTCAGCTCTGCACGTCCGTAGTAATGACAATGTACGTCTGATCACGATACTTATAACTATGGCGCGAACAGAAATGCGGATAAAATCGTAATGATGCCAATAACCATATGAAGGCAACAGTGACAGCGTGACTATCATTTACTAGTAGAAACAACAACTGCTCAGTTCACCAAGAACACAACGACACGCCCTCCGCTGGTCATCACAGCTACTGCAGGTAGGCTAGCAGAGTCATTGTAAATCATTGTATCAGTGTAGTTGTGGATCATGTGGCGGTTGTAGACGTGGCGGCTTTAAACGTAATCAGGGCTATTGAAATTCCTGAAGCTTCTCTACCGGCTCTGGCCCAACTCGAAAGCATGGGCACGTGCTACTGCTTGGCTTTCAAGCTCGTGGGGGTTGGGGTTCAGAGTTTCGACCCACCCCTCCCCTGAGCACCCAGCGTGCACTTGCAGGCAAGGCTGGCGCAGGTGAAGCAGAAGACGAATCCTGGCTCATGGTTTCGGGCTCCATGTGCTCTCTGCAGCGGAAGTTCGAGGACAACAGAGTCCCGGAAACTGGTTGGACCAAAAAGTGCCTCTGCGTTACAAACCATGACATCACTCCTGATCTGAGCGCCAACAACCCTAAGCCCAAAGCGACGTTGCCCATCTGCGACACATCCGCATATCGAAAGCCTCCCTTGTATCCCGATTGTTGACAGCATTACATTATATTAAATTATTTGCAATGCAAATATCAAACCCACTGCCGCCCCTGCCTGGCTCGACTCTGCGGCCTTCGGCGCTGGTGTAAAGGTGATCATCCCATCCTGCAAAGCAAGCTCGCGGCTCGCGGAGGCATTTTTCGGCACCCTACGCTTCGAAGCCCTCTTGAGAACCCACAGTGAGGGAAGAACGGAATAATTCCAAACCATAAGGCCGAAACCGCAAGGTAGGCGTATTTTAAGCCGTCGCTGGACTTCCCACAACAGTGGAGAGCCTGGTTTCGGCTCTCACTCAAGCAAGTCCTATAGCTATAGCTCATGCTTCGGCTCGGCGCTTGGGCCGTTTCGTAGCCACGAGTGCTTGCACAGCTCGAATAAACCATCGAGACCTTTTTAACCTTGAATTGTAGTATCCTTAAGGGAGGAGGGTCCAAGGGGGGTATATAGCCTAGTGAACCCTAAGTCTCCCTAGTACTCCCTAAGGTTCCCTTACAGTCCCCTAAGGATTCATTATACCCTCCCCCCTTGAACCACCCTCCCTTAAGGATCCTATAATTGAAAGACACCAACAAGGATGAAGCAGCTGTTCTCTCCTCATGTCTACATGTTCCTCATCATGGTCGTAAACAGTGAGAGTAACCATCGTCATCATCATCACCACCAGCAAGTAGCAACAACACACGTCACGACTAACGACACAAAAACTGATAACAGCAGAACCCTTCAAGTCTTCGCGGACACCGGCTTTCCTCGCCCTCCTCCGCTGTGAAAAGGTGCCGCTTGTCCTGGAAGTGCAGGACTCAGCGGCTGCAGGGTCTGAGTAGTAAGAAGAGTAACAATGACCACAGTCGGAAGTATTCAATAAAGACTTTGATAACCATGTTTGCCTTAAGACTTAAGAAATAGAACAACAAGACTCATAGTAAACATGAGCCGTGTCAACAACACAAACCTCTGTCCTTCAGGTACTTGAGCTTCAGTGTGGAGACCTTGTTACACCGCCTCCGCATGTTGAAAATGAGACTGGATCGCGAGCTTCTCATCTTGATATTTGGTGGGGGCTGAATGCACCCTGCTATGCTAGGAAACCTCCCAACATCAACCACAAACTGAAGTGCAGGCGATTGGAAATAGTTACTAGTATACGACCGGTCTATTTTAAATGTACATGAACATCAGAGCTCTCCTTGGCCCTGTCTTAGGCCACAGGCCACGGGCAGTCAAACTCAAGGCACCTCTTCAGTTCGAGACGCGGCAGGGCTCCTCCGGCCCGGGATAGCACCCAACCCACCTGAAGTGACGACGCAAAGTTCGGCGACTTCGCTTGTGGCTCGGGCTTAGCTTCTTAGACTAATTAATTCGCCCCTTGGCTGTTGCTAAGGATCCTCGCGGCTCACACTGCGTTTTTCACGGGAGCGTTTTATAAAAAAAACACACTCACACCGCTTGAATTCAGCAACTCCAAACAAACAGGCGCTAGAACTCAGAGCCTTGCGCCGGGCGTACATTGTCCCTGCGTGCCCCCAATACTGCCCCAGCATCTAAAAGAGCAAGCAAGAGTTGAGATCCGATGATGTGCAGTGACTGAAGTGGTGATACAGATTCGTCAACCTCCACCTTTGCTCCAATGCCATCGCGCGGCCGCCATGTCAGTGGGGCTGGGCGCCGTCTTTTCGCTGCGGGCCGCGGCCGCAAAACCGTCGCTTGGGAACTGGGCTCACTGGAGTGGAGTTTAGGATAGTTTAGGGCCTAGGTTTGGAGTTTAGAGTGAGGGGGTCGCGGTCTCGGGCTTAAGGCTTGTGTCCGGTGTTTGAGGCTTCGTGTTGGGCTTGGGGTTTAGGGCTTGGGCTTCGGGGGTCTTGGAAGGCTACAGCTGGTTAGAAGTCGCACCCGAACCTTTCCCCTAAGCATCCCTCGACCGATTTGCCGGCCGACCCCAATCCCGGACTCCAGACTTCGAGCCAGCCTCCGCCCTTCAAAGAATCGAAGGGCCCGATGACCCTCTGGGAGCCAGGTGGCTCGGTCGGCAGGCATCGGGGTGCCTTCCTCCTCGATTTATTGGATGGGTGCTGGCTGCAGAGGTCTAGAGCGATGGACGATCTCCTATCCATTGCACACCACACTTGACAATCTGAGGGTCTCGGACTTCTTGAGGCTTCGAGGAGACTTGACTGACCTGAGCATTGAACCTATGCTTGAAGGCCCTGCTGTAGAGACTCTCACATGCCCCAAATTGCACCCCGTCTCCTGCTTCCCTGCATCGGCTGTTGGAGTCGCTGGCGGTGTCACTGAAGCTGCATCATCGCCATCTTCATCGTCACTTGCACACGGGGGTGGGGGCGGCTTTGGCTTTGGCTTTGCCTCTGCCGGAGGGCGCGGAGGTAAAAGTGCTAGGCCTGGGCCTGAAGGTGGGGCGAGCCACTGGGCTGGTGGCGGCTTGGGCACGGGCTCTGGCGCTGCTTGCGCTTGCACGCCGCCTGGTCGCTCCGCCCGCACAGGCGGCGGGGGTGGAGAAGCCTTCACACCCTGAGCCTGAGCCGGAGTGGTCGGGGGGATCGCCGCCAGCTGACACTTCGCAGCGGGAGGAGCCTTGTAGGTCAGGGCCGTGGCCTTCCCACTTGGGCTCTGAACCGGAGCCTCGCCGTCGACCTTCCTCCACCGGCTTGCCGCCGCCTCGCCAAGAACACAAAGGATCGGGACCACAAAGCTCCGCCCTGGGAGCTGCCCTGGTACTTAAAGGATCATGGGACTTAGTAACTGGGGTTGTAAACAGGGTAATAAACAGGGTAACTATACTTATAATTACTTATAACCCCAATTAAGATACTTATAACCTTACTTACTAAGCCCCATGATCCTCCAGGTAGACCCTAAACCCTAAACTAGACCCTGCAGATCCCTTTAAGGAACCCTATAGATCCCTTTTAGGGGCCCTTTAAGAACCCTTACTAAGTCCCAGGAACCTCCAGGTAGGGGATCACAGGCGTGAAGATCAGGGACTTCTCCGAGGGAGATCGGGCGAAGATCTCGGGCTTCGAGGTCAGAAGCTCTGGCACCGAGAACTGGCCCCCAAACCTGGGTTCTTGTTGAAGAGTTTAGTCGAATTTTACCACAATAGAAACCTATAGTAAATTAACGGAATTTAATCAAAGTCACCATAACAGGGATCTATAGCAATTTAATATGGTTCCTTATGAAGGTAACTTTAACTGAATCCCTGAACAAGAACCCAGAAACCTGCTCTCCAGTTCCACCAAAGGCAGACGACCACCGGAGCGAAGAAGCTCCTGGGCAAGGAGCGTCTCGTGGGCTGTGAGGGTCGTGCCGGCACCCTTCAGCGAAGACAAGGCCATCTTCATACTGGGATGGAGTCCACGGTTGGCCCTGTACTCCACGGCTATGCCCTTGCAGCTCGTGGTGAACTTCCGCCGGAACCAGGTGGACATGTGTGCCTCAGCCGGTAGCTGCCGGACCCTCACCTTCACCGCTTTACCGGTAATCGAGGAGAGCTCCCGGAGGACCCAAAGGCGCCGATTCCCTGAGATTGCGTACCACTTGCTGCCCGCTGACCACACAGAGAAGCTTGGCAGCTGGGAAGGAAGCAGCCTCCCATCCACCAACTCCTTCAAAGTCTGCACCAGCAGCACCCCGTTCCGGAAGCGAACCTCACTGGGCACAGCAAAGAAATGACTGTCTACTTCCGAAAGGTTCAGAAATCTCCAAGCTTTAGGAAACTGCTGCTTGGCGACTTTGATGGAGTCGTGACTCCAACCAATGTCGCTAACACAAAGCTCCAGTGAGCCTTGCTGCGTGCCAGACTCGGAAGAGCTGCTTTCGGAGTCGCTAACCGCGTCTGGAGGCGCTGCTTTGCCTCGGCATGAAGAACCCACTCCCGAAACCCACCAGAATCACCAGAAAAATGTCTGCCCTGCACGAGCCCCAAATCACAAATCACACTCGGCCACGGCGCTCTCCGTCGCATCTGCCGTTGCCTCCACTTCCGGGACCTTTGCCTGCCACGACAAGCGATTTGGCGAGCTTTGCAGGCTGTGAGCTTCTTGCGGAATCACCCCTGCGGCGCAGGAGACGCTGAGGGTGTCAGCTTGTGCTTCTTGCACTACATGTACCGACCCGCAACAAAACCGGCACTGAACGAACGTGTCTCCCCGTTTGCCTGCAAGTCTGCAACCCGCTCGATGCTCTGCCAGTGCACATGTTGACATCTCCGTCCATATCCGCAACGGATTGCTCCCTGAAGCACATGCGGCACTAGAAGAACAAATCAGACTTCGGTGATGTGAGATGATGCTAACGATCTCAAGTGTACTGCATATTCAACAAGTTGGAGTCCACCGGAGTGGGTAAGCAATGACCTAGTCTGGGCAACGTTCGGGATGCACCCCATGGGTCCATGAATGGTTTTTGAAGCTTTACCTGGACCGTTTAGGGTGTACTGGTTTACGCAGGGTTTCGAAATTTCGGGTTCGGGGCGTTAGTTAGGGGTTTTCAGGGCGCATGCAAGGTCCCGGGTTTAGAGTTTTCGTGATTAAGATCATGCATTCGGGTTTCACGCGATGCTGCTCGGAGACATGATTTCCCTCACCAGAAGGGCTGGCTTTTGTTGGCACCTTGAAGCCAAGCTGCAGCAGGCAAAGGGTTCGCGTGGAGATAGTTGCCATGGGGCGCATCGAAGTTGCAGATGCCCCGGAGAAACAGACAGCAATGCTTGGGCAGCTTGACCTTATCGGTCTCCTTCGACAAAGCCTCGTAGACGAGCAGTCCTGGATGTTTCTCGCAGAATCTCCGCAGGCGTCCACATTCAACGATATTTCGCAAAGCGGGGTTCTCCTTGCAGAAGCCTTCGAGCTGATCACATGCCATGGGCCGGCCACAATCTTCCTGAAGATGTGGGTATGAGTTGTGCCGATCACGCTTCTGAAAGTTCCAAGAACAAGAAAACACCAAATGATACCTCGGCTGTCAAGATTCCAGGAAGATTGCCAGGCGAGCCGCAAGCTTGGCTGACGATGCTGAAGGTGCGAGCGTAACCCGCCAGTGTGGAGAGTTTGTGGCCTCGTGACACGTCAGCAATGAAAGTGTTCCCTCCGTATACTACCTTACTACCTGCTGTGCCAGTTGTAACATGCAGGCCTCCGAGACAGCGAAGTGATCTGTGTGTCTGGCAAAGAAGGCTTTCAAGTTGGGGATTGCTTCCCGGCGCCACCGATGCCCGCCGAAAAAGCCCTGGAAGCACTCGGAGGAAACTGAGCCGCCCTGTTCACGAACAAACTGCAGAATGTCTGAAAGGAGCTGCTCTTCGCTGGGAGCTTGCGTGCTGAGTCGAATAGAAAAGGCCGGGCTATCCGGGGTGGAGTCAACAGCGAAAATGTCGCCATGCTCTTGGCAGAACTTGCGCAGCGTCCTGTCGCCCGAATACACCACGGTAGCCGATGCCTGGCCATGACGATCAAGCAGAACCATTGAGAAGAGGCTTGCACATCCCGCAGCAACCCACATAGAGCGTTCACTAACAAGCCGTCATAGTGCTGACGTCTGGCCATCACCAACACCATCAACGATGACAAGTGACAAATCAGCTGCAGCAGGAGCTGCAGCTGCGTGTTTTGTGTTATCACAAACGTTGTTGTTATGATTGCGTCTCCACCGTCACTGCTGTCACTACTGCAATTGTTTGACTAGCGTTGTTGCTACTGTTACCCTGACTTATTTCGCTAGCTCCTTCAGCGCCATAAACGCAATTGATGAGTCGAAATCGTCAACGTGCTCATGGTATTGTCGTCGTGAGAATCCTCATCGTCATCCTCGATGTCAGCGGCATCATCCCCATCGTCATTGTTGGGCTTGGCTCACTTGATTGAACTGGTTTCTGGAGGTGCATTAACAGAGCACCAGTAGCAGCTGTGGAACGGGCTGTCGTGCTTGCTCTTTGTTCTGACTGGGAACTCATGGAACTCTCATCACAAAACAGAGCCTGATCGAACAACTCACGATTCCGCACTCACTTGGTGAACGCGAAGAAACATATCTTCTTTAATTAGACAGATTCGATGCGACCTCCTCACACTCTAAACCCTAAACCCTAAACCGGCTCTAGACATGGCAACCTTCTCCAAGGGTTGCATCTGAAATAATCCCGGCCCCATATTTCAGAACTTACGCTGCCTGATGGGAGGACTGGAAGTCTGGGAACTCCTTCGAGCGAAGTGGCCGACCCAAGGATCGGATGAAGGCCGCCAAGTCGCGGACGGCTTCCTATTTTCGTGGCTTTGGGCTGGGGGTCTTGAGCCTGAACCTAAACTTGAAAGAAAGACTTGCGTCATCGTCCTCCTCCGCCCAGACCAGTCGGATCGTATATCCCCCGTCTACGCGGTCCACCACAATAAAGTCTGAAGAGCTTTTGCAGAGCTGCTTGAAGTGCTTGACCCCATGCGCCGGGAATTTCTGGCAGAAGCCGGTGAGACGGCCGGACGTGAGCACTCCACCCTGTCGCCGCACATACCACCAAAGGTCGTCGAGTGCCTTCTGCTCCTGTGGGCTCGGGCCCATACCTTCCGAAGGGGCCTCATCGGCTAAGGAGCTCAAGCCTTAATGGCAGATACGGCCTGGGCCATGGCCCTTGCCGCCCCCCAAGAGTTAGGAGTGAGGGTGTATATAGGGTTCAGGGTAAGTTAGGGCTTGAGGGTTTGGGGATATATAGTCTCGGACTTTTGAAACGGCTCGCTTTCTGGTGACATTACACAAGCATTGAACGTTGCTTCTGAATATACAGTTCGCTGTCGCAACACCTCGACTACCCGCTCTAACAGGGGTTTACAACAGACAGACTTGTTCAAAGTACATGAAACGCCTTGGGCGACTTGCCACCGGCTGTCAGCAAAAGTGGCAGGCTGCGTCTGATATGAAGTCGCCGGCACAATGAGATGAAGGAGCCGACATGGTTGAAATTTTGCATTTGAGATGGGCATAATCTTATCGAAGAAGCTCGAATGCTCCCTGTGAAGGATTTCTGAATGGAGTCGCTTGCTCCCGAAGAACCGTTCCTGCCCATTCCCTTTCTCCGGAAGATTGCACGGCTAGCATGAACTGTTCCAACGACTCTTGTACCAGCCTGCATGTAAGAAACTGTTGTCACTCTAGCTATTCTTTTCTTGTGCTCCTATTTCAATCACGATGCTGACTGATACCTTGCAACTCGCTACAGCTATGTTTGCTGGCTTAGCATCGCTCGTCTTTTCTGGTGCCAACATCGTCGTAGATGTTTGGAGAGATTATGATGTCGCCAAACCTCCAAGCCATAGGCCCCGAGACCTCAAAAAAGGTAGCGTCTAAGAGGAATAGTGCTTTGGGGTTCAGGGTGTGAAGGTTCAGACTTTTGGGTCCCAAACCTCCAACCGTGAAAGCGGTCACCAAGGGCACCTCCCAAAATCAATCTTGAACTCACTCTTAGCCCTGCTCTTTGCATGTGCTGTTTTTCGACCCGCGGATCATGGCTGAAGACTCCTGTTGAATTAAGTCTGGATGACCTAAGAACGAAATCACTGAGCTGAAGATTGCCGGTGTGTGCGCGGAGGATTTGAAGCTTCACCGAGCTCTAAGGGTTTTGGTTTTAAGGATAAAGACCCAACAGTCTGTGGTCTGGGCAGTGCAGACTACTGCCTCAGGCCGCAGGTATCGGCGGGTCGAACTGAGATGCTGTAGTTCCGCGATACATAGATGAAAGTGCTTTCGCTTACGGGCTCTAGGAACTCCAGCCACACACTGCACAGGCTCTCCCTCAGGTGCTGAGCTTAAGAGGACGCTCGAACAGACGCCGTGCCTGGCAAAGGAGGCCAAGGTGTAGTCTCCGGAGTTTAGGATGCAGTAGTCTACAGTTTATAGTGGTGGTGCTGAGCTACGACGATAGAGTGACGAGGTCGGTGACCCAGTCACGAGGCAATGGTGGAGTGATGAACGACTTCTTGACGTAATTACTCCCTGCAGCTTTTGGTCTGCCCATCGTGCCTACTCGACTCACCATGCAGATTCGTGCTAGTACATACGTCTGCTATCAATGCCAGAACAGGACGCCGCTCGCGTCCAGCCTTCGCGCAGCTTCGAACTAGACGACACGGCCTGCACCTTCGGTCCAGAGCGGTCTACTAACGGAGAATTGAACTGTAAACAGCTCTATCGCTGGCTGCAGGAAGTCCGGTGCTGGGCTTTGGGCCTAAGCTGTCAAGCATACAAGCTAACTTGTCAACTATGGAGCCGAACGCTCGAAAGATGTGCGAGATTGAACTCCGCTCCTGGTTTGTGTGCACTGTGAAAGAACCAGGCCAATCCCCTTCGGCACTCATGGGAGAAGGCGGCCAATCTGCACACCTCAAACCCTTTCACAAAATCTTCATTGAGGTCCAGTCGGCTGCGGAGATGAAATCATCTGTCTGCTGTGTCAGGACGGAAATAACTGCACGAGTTCAACGCTCTTAAGTGCACCGAGATCTAAGATAGGGGCCTGAGCAAATGGGCACTTTATTCCGTTGCAGTTCTTGTATTTATAGACGAAGTATATACCCCGAATCCTGATTCTAACCCCATATTTGCCCTGTCTCTTCCGAGACGAGGGTGTGCACAGACGGCGTTGCCGACATGTGGCCTTCACTTCCGGGGCGGCTTGGCGCCTCAGGACTTCCCAAGGCTTTCCTCGGATGTGCAACGTAGAGACTCCCTGAATCTTAGGGTTTAGGGCTTAGGGTCAGTTTAGGGTTTAGCCCATACTTCCCAAAGATACCTCAAAATCTATTTTCTGGTTTACTCCCGGCACGCACAACACTCTGCTCGTTTGACAGGCAACAAGACTCACGTCGGTGGACCAATGCACAGAAGAAGGCTACTGTACGGTCATTCATCGGTTATCATCGGCTTTTTGCAGGTTCCCACCACCTTATTACAGGGTCATTGATACTTTATGATAAAGAAAAAAGAACCAAGGCACAGCCGCAGCACCGCGGTTGGCTGCTGCAGGAAAGCGCAGGAGTCACCGAGATGCGCTGTTGAGCTGGGCCGAGAACCCAAGCAACCTGCTCAGACTCTCCCAGAGACCCGCCCAATTATTGTAGGGGCCTGAATATTTAGAATATGGTTTTGGGGCGTATTAGGAACCCCCAAAGTAGCATAGGTAATTATTTAGGCCGCTATAGTACTAACCAGACAGTTTAGGTCCCAAGGACTCCGGACTCTTTGACACTTCAAGGATGGAAGATGGCTTTGAGTATCCCTAAAGCTCCGGCTGCATAAACTCCAAGTGACTGGCGGCACCCGATTTGGCGTAGACATGCCAGGTATCCAGCTGACGACGGAGCACCACGACAGCGTCGAAAGGGCATGTGCCACCCCCTGGCACGCTGGATCCTGCTGGGTGAAGCTTCCGGACTTTGAGTCCCGACTGATGAGAGGCCGGCAAGTAGACAAATAGAATGACACGGCTTGAGCTGCATAGACTGGTGACAAGTGCATCTGAAAGACTGAGATGGTGCCGTCTCCTAGATTTAGGTGCTTCGGGTATCCCACCCGCCGGCTTGGGGGTCTGGGATCCGGTAGAACTTGTTTGCAGCAGAGCCCTCTACCTCTAATGCATGCACGTGCCACCAGGAAGAATAGAAAAGGAGTGAGAAGATGCAAAATACCTCCCGAACACAAGGACCATCAGTCCGAACTGATGTCACATCAGAACGGATGCCCAATGAAAAGTGTTCCGCAACCGAGCCCCGGGCGAGCGAGGGCAGCAGTCAGCCCACCAATGGTTCCCCGCAAGGTGCAAAGCAAACGCACGCCGGCTTCCGAGCCTCAGGATGCTTTTCTTTGGTTAGTAGGGAATGGAAGAATGGCAGTAATAGCAGTTACAAGTGTACCCCATTCCTCCATTCCCTACTAACCAAAAGTAAGTTTGCAGAGGCAGAGGTGCAACCTTGCAGCTCGGGGTGTCGATCTTTGGGGTCAAGATAGTGCAGCTGGTTGGCATGAGTTTGTGCGATGCTTGGTAATTTTACTTGAGGTGCACCTCCTTCGGACCTTAGATTCAGCAGTTCGGGCTTAGGGATCGTTTGTTCCTTGAGGTGTAGCGACTGCGAAACGAGGTGTGGATTTGGGTTTGGGGTTCAAGGTTGTTGCTTGATGGCTCACCTTGGAGTCTGCTGAATTTGTTTGCCAGATCCGTAACAATGCAGGGGGCTGTATCCGTGAAACGCTGATATCTTCGGGCAGGCTTTGGAATTCGCATGCATCCCGATGGCTGTTCTAGGTATCTCCACCACGCCTGCTGCAACCAAGGCACACAACTGTGCACTCTGAAGGGCGGCATCCACATCAGCAAACTCGGCAGCAATCACCTCGAAAGGGAGCTTCCTAGACTTCAGTGGGCGCTTGCAGCACAAGTGCACAAGAAGTCTGAAACCCGAAAACCCGACTCCTAAACCCTGCATCTACCCTCCAACACCCCTATCCTCAGTCCCTCTCGGAGGACCCTAAACCCCAAAACTAAAGCCTCTAAAACACCCCTCAAGCCCCGTATGATGAACCCTACTAAACCCTAAACCCTAAACCCCTAAACCCCAAAACCCTAAACCCGGCGTCCTCGGGGCTCTGCTCCGCGATGGCCCGGTCCACCGCCGCCACGGGATCCGAGTCCAAGGGCACCGGGGATCTGACGCAGTCGAAGTCATCGGAGGGGAGCTCCTCATGGAAGTCCAGAATCACGACCTCAGGGTCCGTGAGTAAAGGGTTCAGGGAGGCTTTCGACTTGAGCTTTCATGCTTTCGGATGCGAGCTGTGGTACTGGCAGATACGATCTGGAAGATGTGCGGAAAGCAAGACACATGGCAATCTCTGCAACTCGGAAGAACCACAATCATCACGATCGAACAGAATGATCATCAAGAAGCACAAACTGGCACAAACTAGCGGAAAACTTTCCGAATAGATCCACCTCACTGATCGTCTCTATCCTGAACCTCCCGCAACCCAAGACCCTGAACCCTAAATGGCCCTTACAAGGGCCTGGTAGGTGTGTGACAGGCTGGCTGCCGCTTCTCTCAGGGAGCTGGTCTTCCCGGAGGTGGCGGGGCCCAAGAAGAGAAGGGATCCCGAAGAGAGCTGCGGAGCAATGGCGAGGGTAAGACCTGCTCCCGATCTGGGGGGTTCAAAGTTTGGCCTTCAGGCTTTGTTCCGCATGCAGCAGGGGATGAACACATCCAGATAATGGCAATCCACACGGTATATAGCACAACGCATGAATCACCCGAAACGCTTCATCAAACAAGCAGGTGTCAAAACGAAGCCTGGAAGCAGGCGCGTCACATGGAGGTTCACGGCATCCAGCTCTTGTCCCCGGTACACAAAGCTCGCCCGATGCAAGCATCCGGGTATGCGGAAGATGCCTGAACCTCAGCGACGCACCAAGACGATGGCAATGTTCGATTGTGTTCGGGCGGATCGCCCACTGAACACCAAGAAACGCCACGGGATATCGGTCTCGGCCGAAGTGAGTTCGCAGGCCACATCCTAAGACGATCGCATGGATTCGCGTGGAGCTTTGCTCATGGATCTCGATTGAGGATGGGAGCATTATCATGATGATGATGATGTCGATGTTGACGTTGGTGCTGATGTTGAAATGATGATGATGATGATGACGATGATGATCATGATGATGATGCTGACGGTGATGGTGATGGTGATGGTGTTGATGATGATGATGATGATGGTGATGATGATGATGGTGGTGGTGTGATGATGGTGTGATGATGACGGTGGCGATGATGATGATGATGATGATGATGGGCATGAGGAGGAGGAGGAGGAGGAGGAGGAGGAGGAGGAGGACGATGTTGACGATGACGATGAGCATGACGACGACCACGACGATTACAGTCAGGAGGTGGGAGGAGGTGGAGGATTACAAGGTGAATCATCATCAGCCGCACCGTACCAGCAGCGTCATCGTTACAACGATTGTGGTGGTGATCAAGATGGTGATGGCGATGGACACGCCGTTTGCTTGAGGAGCGGATGTGGAGTCGCCAGAGCTCTTGTGATTGGTGGCCTGCATTCATTGGAACCGAGACTGGAATCGCTGCCTTAGCCAACAACGACCCTTCAACCCAATCCCATCTGCGCCCACAGCCCAGGGTCCGCCAAGTCTTGCGACGTGAAGGTGGCTCCTGTCTGTGCTCACGAGGATTCAGCAATCTTATGAATCAACCTACATGGCTTTTGATGAGGCCTTTCGCCCAGGTCACGTACCAGTCGCACTGCAAGTACCAGTGACTGTAGTATCCCTATCCTGTAGAAAAGAGTTACACTTGGAGCAGTGATCCGGGAAACCTGATTGCGCGCGTATGCACTTCAAACTTAATGCCTACATGTGCGCACAAATACGTGTAAGCATGTGTGTGTATAGGTATATATATATATATATATATATATATATGTGTGTTTATGTATTTTGATTATAAATATCTCTATCTATATGTGTATTACGAGCACCCCACACTGATGGACCCCAAATCTGTAGATTTTCCAAGACCCCTAAGCAGAAAAGCCTGAGAAACATGTAGAAAATCCGAAGCGAACATAGCCGACGTAGAAAGCAAAACAGCACAGACAATACCCTGGACCTCGTAGCCACCCCTAAGAAAGATAACAAGCATTGAACCGCAACACTCCTAACTAGCTCGTAATCTTAAATTCAAACTTTAAACCCCAAGCTACAAAACCCTTGCAAAGCACTTGTGAAGCCCTTGAGGAAGTCTTCTTTGAACCCTGATTCATAGAACCTCCCACACTTTTGCCGAGTCCTGGAAGCTCGTGTGCTGGGAGCCAGCCAGAACAGAGCGCTGCCTGCAGCGGCCGGCCTCGCAAGTTGCTTCTTCGGGGATCCTGTAGACCGTCAGGGTTTGGGTTGTGGGGCTTGAAAGTGATATACCCGAAACCCCCCCAAAGTAGGCCATAATTGTGCGCCTTTCTGGGGGCCCTCTCTTCAAAAGTGTTGCTGCGACGTGTTAATGCCATGTGGTTGCTGCTCATCTTCCGTCAGAATTGAGGGCGCCTGCACAACTGACAACTGTTGCGCTTGAGGCCACGTTTGCTTTTGTAGTTCGCTTCTGAGGTTTCGGAGCGGAGTTGCGGCTCTCAGGGCTTAAGTGGGTTGGTAGCTTCATGCAGTTCCGGGTTTTGGGACGTTGTGCCAGCCGGCCTCGCTGCAAAACGAGGCGTTGCACCTTGGCCTTGTGCAGGATCTCATCGATATGAGGGGCGCTCATGGTGGTGAAGAGCTTCTCAGGCAGCTTGGACAGCAAGCCTCAGCTCGCGTCGTCTGCCGCTCCGTTTCCTCGTGTCCCTGAACTGAGTTCGTTGGCTTCGTGACAAGCCGGAATGTCAGCAGAGGGCAAAGACAAGTGCAGCATCCGTCTTCATCACCCATGAAGAGTATCATGGCACCTAAACACCATCCACTTTGCATCTTACCATACCCAAAGGTGACCGTCGACCATGAGCTTTCAGCTCGAACTCGGCACACTTAGACAAGAAACTCTCAAGCTCGCACACGCAGCGCTGCTCTTCGGCTCGGTGAGGCTCCTGCGGCTGAAGTAGTGGCTAAAGTAGTAGAGACCGGAGCCATTCCCACACGCCGAAGCCCACACCCTGATTCTCAAAGATCGTCCGATTACACACACACCCTACTCTATGGATGTGCCTGGCCGGACAACTCGGATGCCAGTACCTCGCTCACCATCATCTTGCATATGTGATTACAACCGATAAGAACTGACATGCGACAATCACGAGTCCGGTCCTTGTCGGCGCCGTCCACCACTGTGTCTAGCAAATCTTGCTGACCGTGTGCTTCCTCCACCCAGCTGCCTTTTCTGTGCTCGGCGAGGATGCCCTCTTCACCTCGGCACTTGAGAATTGGCGAGCAGCTGTCACCACCCGTGACAAACTTGCCAACCCCCTAACACAAATGTCTCCTGGCCGAAAACGTAGCTCAGAAAAGACAGCGTTACTCAGAGCATCTGTCCTGAGTGGCTGGCATCCCTATCTTCGCCTCTGCCGGTTGCCTGCGGAGGGCCGCTGCTCTCCTCACAAGATGCCCGCGAGTCCATGTACGCCGCATCCTCGCGAGATGCTGGCAGGCTTCTGCTCCAGCGATCTTCCGGAAAGCTCTGGCCCTCTGGCTCCGTCCTCTTGCTTGCGCAGGGCAACAGTAGCAGAGGCGATGTGCTGACAGCTGGAGCTGCAGGCAAGTCATCCACCTCTTCCATGCACCACGAATCCCGAGAAGCACGCATCTCCGTGAGCTTGCAGCTATCATCTGATTGCAAGGCTCTTGCTTCACCCTGCGGAAGTGGCGGTTCAGCATGCTCATCGACTGACAAGGGGCTCTGCTGAGATGGTGCAGCACACTCAGCATTTGCCGTAGATGCCGGATCCGCATCTGAGCGGCCATTCCGGCACTCGACGGAAAGGCTTCTGCTCCAAGGATCTCGCCCTTCCGCCCATGGATCTGACCTAGGCCCTTCTTCTCGATGTACGCCCACTGCACTTTCCACCGTGCTTTCCGGCTGCGCTGAGTGGGAACCGGGTTTTGCCTCTGCGAGGTCTGGAAGGCTCCTGCTCCAAGGGTCCTGCCCATTCGCCCAAGGGTCGTAAGTCAATCTTTCATTCTCCGGCCTGCGACCCGCTTGCTCCTGCGTAGCCAAAGGAGCCTCACTGTACTTGGCCCAGGCATCGATCCGCTCCGTCTTCCGTTCCTGCTCATGGGCTGGCAGTCCTGCAGCAAGATCAGCTGCAGGTGCCACAATAGGCTTTGTAAGACTGCTGCTCCATGGATCTTGCCCATCGGACCAGGGGTCTTGACGAGGCATTGCTTGTTGTTGATGGCTTGCTCCTCCTGTGGCTTCCGAAGCGATCACCGGCTTTTCAGACTCCAATGGGTCGGGTCGGCCAGGTGTAAGAGCTGGAAGACTTGGACTTGGAAGACTTTGGCTCCACGGGTCCAAGCCGGTGGCCCACGGATCTTCTCCGCTGCGCTCCCCTGCGGCTGCCTTGCCTGCCGTGCCTGCAGCGTCGGCCGTGGGTGCCTGAGGCTCCGGTTTCGGCTCCCTTGGCTTGGCTGATGCCTCCTGGCCTCCGGGCGATGCGACAGAGCTGCTAGTACCTCGGCTTTGATAGGGTGGAACAAGCAAAGACAGACATAACACTGAGGGCTGAGGGACGGAGCGGCAGTCAAACACACATGGAAGCGTTCTTGTTTCTTGAGGCGTCAGGTCCGCGGCACCGCTGCTGTTTCTGTCCTACACACCCTTGAGAAAACTTACGGCCGCATTGGTACATACAGTAACTTCTTGGCCTTTGCTGCTGGACTGCCCAATCTCATCTCCATTTCAGTCGGTGCCACGGGTTGTGATATCCGGGCTGTGAGCCTCATAGCATTTGTTGTGGGTTTCAGGGTTCTGCCATCCCTGTCCTCGAAGCAAAACACCGCATCTGCTACTCTGCTGAAAAAGGCTCAAGCACAGATCGTGGTGGAAGATGCAATGTGGATCCCCAACCCACATCCCGGAAACTGCACATAAGACCACGGTCCACAGCGGAAGACTGGACACGACAAGACGTGGTCAACATCTTGCCAAGGTGCTATTTCACTGTTTTACTAGTTACTAGCCATCAGACCCTTGTTTCCTGGCACTAGCCTTGCGACGTGTTTTCTTGGTCCTATGCAGGGGGACAAACCTATGCTTGCAGCATCTACCAGCTCCTCCTCTGCATGTGCTGTCGATCTCAGAAACTCGATATCATGGCTCTATGTTCGGGAGCAGGCCGGAGCCGCAGCCCTAGGCTTCAGCGGAGTACAGGCTCTTCCTTCAGGCGGTTCGGGGCTTTGCCAAGATCTTGCGGTTGATGTTTAAGACGAGCTGCAGCGGTCTTGCTCCAGCCCAGCTTGCTGCAACACCTTCTGCCAGTGGCCGAACTTGCACTTGGGACCATAGGAGCAGGACACAGCATCCTCAGAAGTACACGATGACGAAACTGCTGGATTAGGGAACCCCACTTCACTTCAGCCTAGACACGTCCACAGCAGCAGCTGTGCAGCGAACCACGTGCAAATACTTCCCGTGTGTCGAGTTTTGCTTGCACGCACCGCGAAAAAAGTAGCAGCAGTGGCAGGCAAGTTCTATTCGTGATTCACCTGACGTTTTGGTCACAAACACCAGAAGCCTGTCGTGATCTGAGCAAAAGCTCTTCAGGCCTCCAGCTTCCGAGATGGCCTGACGACATCCAGGATTCTGCCCATAGAATAAGCTCAACTGGTCAATTGAAACGGAGTTACCCCGCTTCTGAACGAACACAGCCAAGTTAGCTGCAACGTGCTTCGCATTGCTGGCACTGGCCAGCTGGACATGCCACTGTCCCCCTGTGCCCTCGCAGATACGAAAATGATTCGAATGCTTCTCGCAGAACGTCCGTGTATTCGCAACCGTGACACGATGTTGTGGGTGTTTAGCGAAGAATTCATTCCAATCCTTTGAAGCAATACCGGCAGCTGCATCATGTCGATCACGAATGAACCGGACAAGATCTGCAACGGCCTCGCTTCGGTCAGGATCTTCGAAACGATCATGTAAGCGGATGCAATATCCTGCGATGGAAGGGCTCTCTTCAAAAACACAGGCATCATGCCTTTCACAGATTTGGCGCAATGTTTCCGTGCCAGAATTCAGCACTCTTGCATATTCTGGATGTTGTTGTATGAAATGCCCCACCCCTTCACCAGGCACGGATTTCAAATCACCATGTTCTCTAACGAAGTCCACGACCTTCATCACAAACTTCCTTTCGAAAGAAGCCGACATAATGTTCCACCCTGGGCCGTTTCTCAAAAGAACGAGGTGGTCCTTGTGAATCGCGCAGAATGCACCCGGATTCGAGAGCAAAGCCTTGTGCTCCGGATGGCTTGCGTGAAATTCGGCTAAGTGCTCGGTCGAGATCATACCGCCTCCATCCTTGACAAACTTACTCAAATCTGCGAGAACTTTCTTGTCTTTGGCACCCAACGCTTTCACAGCTGTGGGATGCAATCGAATCGAAAGGGCGGATCCAGTGGACTTCACGACGAAGGAAGTCTCGTGCTTCTGGCAGAACTCGCTCAGCTTCTGGTCATCTAAGCGGATTACATGGGCCGAGGCAGGGTCGAGCTTCTTGAAGTCTCCAAAACTGCCAGCACTGATCTCCGAGTTGCTCTGAGATGCAATAAACTTGGCCAACCTCTGCGCAGCCTCCTTCTCACTTGGGGCTAGCAGCAGCTGCCAGCCGCCACCGCTAGCAGATGAAGAAACTACAAAACGCTTCGGGTGCTGCTCACAAAACGCTCGAAGGTTCGGCACCTCTTTTCGGAAATCCGTCAGCTTGGCAGAATGTAGCGTGCCACCGGACTCCTTTAGCAGCTTTACCAAGGCTTTGACTGTCTCTTTCTCTTGTGTCGTCTGGGCTTTCAGGCGGATACAAACACTCGGATCCGTGTCGCTCGCCTCCACCACGAACGTGTTCTTATGGACCTGGCAAAACTCCCGCAAAGTGCGTCCGCCTGAGTAAATGACTTTCGCGAGGGCGGGATACTGATCCTTGAAGTCTGGAAAATCGTGCGACCGCAGCGAGCCACCGCGTGAAGAAACAAACTCCGTCAGCTTCTGGACAGCTTCATTTTCGCCTTTGGCCAAGGAAAGCTTCCAGGGACCCGCCTTAGGCTTCGAAATGGTAAAATGTTGCGGGTGCTTCTCGCAGAACATTCGTAGGTCCGGCAGCGACTCGCGATGTTCTTTGTGCTTGATCAAGAAGCTACCCACATCACCAGACATGACACTACCTCCACGGTCCTTCAGAAACTTAGTCAGATCCTCGATTATCTTGCACTTCTTCGCAAGGGCCGCCATGCCGTCAACACTCCAATCGGGTTCGACGGAACTATCTAGCGATGTCGCTCCGAGGATGGGGCTTGCTGCTGCTGCTGTCTTGGACTGCCCCACATGCCTTCATCTGGACGGCTGTTAGCTGGTTCGGACTTGTCTGCTAGCCCAAATATTCAACTGGCTCACCAATCACGTTCTTTGATCGGAGCTCTACCACAATACTCAGCCAGCTTGGCAGCATCGTGCACGTCAACAGGAGTGGCATGTCAGCAGGCCTAGACAAACCAGCAAGTCTGATCTCCGGCAGGCTTCGCGTAGGACTCACTCGAAGCGTTACTTGCTTTTGCTTTTCGGCATCAAACAGGCAGCCCCTCCAGCCACTCCTTAGCCGGAGAACGGCCGAGCACACTGGTCAATCTTCCATCGCTTGCACGATTCGGATAGAACAACATCGACCAGCTCTCAATCGCCATCCCGAGAGGCAACACCAGGACCTCACGACCGAACCTCTACGGGTCCTCAAACCCCAAACTCTCTGAATTTCCCCCTCAGCCCTTCATTCTCACGCTGTATCCCGACAGCGGTGCCCAGGTATTATAACGTGAGCCCAGAAACAACCCGCCAAAATCTCATAAAAGACGGAACGACCCCTGCACTCTGTAATTCAAAAAAGGGAAGACCAAAAACCTCAGCTACCGCCTAATACCCCCAAACCTGAACCTGACACCTCCCAAAACCAAGAGCTGGTTCTGGAATTCTGGGGCCGCTGCCGAAGCCAGCTGGCTCTGAAGCGGAGCTCGGCCGACAGCATCAGCCTGAAGTAGTTGAGGGCTTCTTCCGGGTCGAGGGTCCAGGGCATGGGGCCTTGAAGGGTCTACAGGGCTTGGGTTCGGTTTCGAGGTTCAGCGTGAACAAAGCAAGGGTGAGAGTCGATGGGTTTTATTGATGGTTCAAGAGCTTCGGAGAAGGGTTAAAGATTCCTCAAGGTTTGGGGTACAAGGTTGTAACGGCGTAACGGTGAAGCTCCCGTCTACTGTGCCCGGTATTGCCGTCAGTGTGCGTCGTGAGGGGTCCGCGGGGCAAGAATGTGCTCGGAATTCACATTGGTGGTTTGTGGTTGATTCTTTCTTGGCGCCCTGTTCCTGCCTCAAGGTGCTCATGGTTGTGGCTGGAACAGCTAGGACCTCAATTTTCTCTCATCAGAAACCTGAGCGATGTTACTTCCTGGGTTTCGAAGCCCTGGGGAAACTGAGAACGGCAAAAATTCACGCCCGACCTTCACCACACCCTAAACCCTAGACCCTGCCGTAAACCCTTCAGGCCACTGACCCTACGCCCGAAAGCCCTGAGAACTAATTAATATAGGGTCCTTCATGACTAGAATAGTAAGAGTAGGGTTTTGGGGCCCATGAAACTACAGATAGAATAAGGAACCCCCCGAATATTATTGGTAAGTATGAAAGCCCCGATATTTTAGTACCCTTGTAGATCCCTTATAGTAACCCTTATCGACCCCTTTAAAGGAACTCTAGGAAACCCTATAGTATCTCTCCACGGGTCTCGACATCGCACGGACAGGCTCCCGAGGCTCAGTCGCTCTGCTTCGGGCGCCCCGTCCTCCGCTTTCCGCTTCGTGGCTCAGGGCTTTCTTGGTTAAGGTTTGAGGCTTATGAATCTCAAGGTTTAAGGGTTTAAGGGTTTAGGGTTGAAGGTTTAAGGGTTTTAGGGCTTAAGGGTTTAGGGTTTAGGTTGAAGGCTTCCTTTTTGTTTTGAAGAGCTTCGGGTTTGGGGCCCAGGGATGTCGGGAGTTCGAGGGGCCTCGGCTTTGCACTTTGCTCTCGGCTTGAAGCTGAAGGATCTATATGGGGTTCGCGTGCGGCAGGCACACCTTTGGCCCGCCTAAGCTTCGCCGAGACACAGCAGTTGCCACGGAACACAGCTTCAAGGAGCCAGGTCCAAAAGGTCGAATTTAGCCTGCATCTCTAGACTCTAGCGCCCAATCTGCAGCATAGATCTTTCACCCATCATCCCTTCAACTCCGTCAACCTTCCCACTGATTGGAAATCACATGCGGAAATCCAAAACACCAAGAAAAACGCAGTGATCATTTTTGGCCTGAGAGCTGTGTGTTGGAAAGTGGTGTCTGCAGAAGCCCGGCCAACCACTTCAGCAGTTTCTCGTATCACAACCTTCTCTCCTTGGCACTTGGTGGTGAACTTGCGATGAAACTCTGCGCCCGGTGTCACAATGTGAACCTTTACACGCCTGCAACGTGCAGCTAGTTGCAAGAGCCTGTAGAGTGCCAATCGGCGATTGCTCAAACAATATGGGCGACCTTCGTGAATGGTTATCCGCATCATTTCCACATCCCGCTTTCGGATCTCTCGTGAAAGCAGTTGGTCAAGGGTCTCGCGAATACTGACGCCACTGCGGAATTTGCTGCTGATAGTATCCTGGCAAAAGAACAAGTCACAAGGAGCAATGAAGAGCTCGGAACCTGGGGCTCTCTCACTGGGAGATGCAGGCAAGCTGTCTACCGTTTGTGGTGGCTCATCAAGTGCTTGGGCCTGCCGTGAAAGCCACATGTTCTTGGGGGAAATCGAAATGGTTTTGTCAAAGCTCTCCAAGTAGACTTTGAATCGATCCCCAGCTGGCGCTACAACTCGACCATCCGCACCATTGTACTGCTGAGCGGTCTCCAAGCCATGTATCTGAACCCTGGCTCCCACCAAAGGCACCGGTTCTTCCTCAGCTTCCGCATGACACCAATCCCATGTCTCCAAGAAGTCCCTATCCTCCTCATCTGAATCATCCACCTCGTCGCCAAACAGGGCCGCGCCCATGCTTTGACCCAGCAAGGTTTCATATTCCGGAGTTTTCCGCATCACTGTCCCCATAAAGAAGGGCGTTCCAACCGCAGCAGGCACTGACATCTGCTGGAAGATCCCCCAAAGTAATTCGAAGTCTGTGAAACTGAAGGAGTTCAAGACAGCAGCTGAATGAAAATCGCCATCGGCTCTGACTACCCATACGTCTCCACGTGCCGGAACAGCCAGCTCCTCGTCCCCGAAAACAACTCTGTTGTCAACTGGTCCTGGAATGGCCATAGGATGACCACTGAATGCAGTGTTGTCAAAAAGGCTCGTGAGGATCGTGGACGCTCGCAAATTTTGAGGCGGTACAAGGCCAGAAGAACAGCGTAAATTGATGGGTTTTAACAGCTTTGCTTGCTGCTGCCCTGCCAGCAAGACTTCCCACCGGTCGCGATCTGGATGGTATGCCCCAAGTTGGCCTTTCTGGCCGTTCAGCTTCACACCAGATGTGCTGGTGAGCCCGTAAATGGAAGCTTCAGATCCTTTCAAGCCTCTGGTCCAATCAGCCTGTAGGAGGTACAAGCCTTTCCTGGGAGGGACATGCTGCGCGCCCATTAGTCTAGAGTCTAGATAGAGTACAAACACAAGCAGCAGAACAGTATGCCAGCTAGGAACCTGAGAACGGACAGTTGAAAAACAATGCAACCATAGATTCATAAGGCCAAGTCGCTGCGAGATCCTTGAGCCGTCGTCCAAAGGGTCACTCCAGCCATGCTGGAAAGCACGAAGTGGCATCAATGCGGTGAAGCACTCGGCTCGGAGAATCTTTTGCAAAGCTCGATCGGCAGCCGCTTTTGATTTGGGCAAAGGTCTTGCGTAAGGCTTGATGCGCTGGTCAACTGGCAGCACCACACATTGGACTGTTCCAGCGTGAGATAGATCATCCTCACACTCGGGCTCGGCATCCCTCCCAAAGCACAAGCCAGAATGAATGCTGCGACACGAAGGCGCTGAACACAAGTAGCCTCTGCAAAAAGCGCATTGGCACAACTTTCGACCAGGATGTTCTTCAACATTGCCACAGCTCCAACAACAGCGCTCCTGCCCAATGAGCTTACAATCGGCTCCTGGTTTGCCTTGTTCCAACCTTTTTGCCTGCTTCTGCTCGTGCTTGGCCTTCATGGCAGACTCTTTGGCCACAATCTTTTCCTGCTCCTGCTTCGGTAGCTTCATGAAGGCCTCCATCTGATTCATGGCCTCCACTGAGCCCTTCTCCCCCTGGTTTCCGATGATTTGTACTTCAAGCCCACTTTGATGCTGAGGGAGCTTGGGAATCTGCTCCAAAATTTGCACTAAGGCAGCCATGGCCACTGGCTCACGCTCTTGACCAGGAAACTCTAAATCCGTCGAGCCCGCAGCATCGCTCACTTTGGCTCGCAGCTTCCATGCTTCCTCTCTCCCCTGGCGAAGAGCCTCAGGCCACGCTTTGATCAAGGCGTGCCTCACACAAGACCAAAACATCCCAGGATCCTCCGCTGCCAAGGACAGTGGGTCAAACGCAGACGATTTCAGAGGAATCAGAGCAATCAAGGCCTCAGCCCAGGCCTGCAGCTTCAACATTTCTTCGTGGGTGATATCTCTCAGCCGATCCTGAAAGACCATGCAGCGTTTGCCGGCGATACCGGGCCAACGCACTTCCAAGAGGTCATCGTTCTCCATTTGGCCGTCCTGACCTACAGCCCGGTGAAGGACAAACGAGCCGTTCTTCACTGCCTCAACTCTCCTCAGCTGCTTTTTGCAGTCCCACTCGGCAAAAAAGTCAAGAGCATGCGAAAACGAAGACACCACAGATGGGAGAGACGCAAAGCCACTACATGCAGAACAGTTTCATAGCTGCAACCTCCCCTGCCGGTCTCATCCGTGAATTCTCTTTTGTCATGTAGCGCCCCGCATCCTGACACATACTGAACTTGGTGCTGGCCCGTCGATTCAACAGGCCCTTCTTGACCTCAGTGGCCACCTCCTTGGAAACCAAACCGATCAAGAAAGGTTCCAAGAAGTCCATGGCCTTCTGCAGGTCCAGGGAAGTGCTTCCAAAATGGCTGCAGCTTAAGACCCACAAGCGGTGCGTCAGCTCGATTTCGAGCTCGATATCTCCTGGAAAACGCGAGAGAATCTCCGCCATTGCCTGAGTTGCAAAAGAGCGTACTCCGAAAATGCCACAGCTTCCCAACATCATTCCCAAAACACTAGGATCAAGGCCTGTCCTAACTATATTCTGAACTAAAGGTTGCTGTTCAAAGTTGATCCCGGTTGGAATTCGTCTCTTCGCACTTGCTGAAAGGAGCGCGTTGAACATACTGTGTTTTTGAGTCCGCCCTTGAAAGTGAAAGGAAGGTTCAGGTCTGGGCGCTTTTGACGCGACTACTTCATGTTTCTTTCTTGATGATCCATGACCAGACTGATTTACGACGAATACCCCGAATACGGTTTGAATCGGCTTGAAAAAACACCGCGAGCGAGTCTTCCACATCAGAACAAAATATTAAGAGCTAGGCCAGACTGGTATTACGATATTAAGAATCCAGCCGGAAACCTCAAGAAACAACCTTGTCAGTGCTCTGACTGGGTTTGACCTGATGCTGCGGTCAGGTTTCTTTCAACAAGGCCTCTGTGTGCGAGGTTCCGCCAGGGACAGGTACATGTCCCTGTGTTGGAGGCCCAACAAGGAAGGCATAGCCAGCCCCCATAGTGCCTTGTGCGCTCTTGGATGTTCCTTGGAGGCAAGCATTAAATTCAAGAGTTCCTCAAGCCTGTCAAAGTCAAATCATGTAAATCCTTGCGCCTGGCCTCAATGACTAGATGCTTGTAGAAAAACAAAGGACGCGTGCCGATGATGACTATGATATGACTACTCAAAGGCAACTGCTCAAAGCTGGATCCTTATCCCCTACGACCCATCTGGCCAATAATATGAGACTTTGGATCGGGAAATCCAAGTCTTTCCCATTCCTAAACTGGCTCTCATAACAATGGGCCACCCCCTCAAGTTCATGATCTAGCTAGACCAGTAGAAGTGTCGACGTCAGTGTCACTGAAGCTGCCACAGGAACAGTACATGAACAAAGGAAAGCTTGCCAAACCCAAGCAGAGTGTGGAACAGCAATCTCTGACCAAACGTGATCTTGGTTTGATAACAAATCAGAGGTCTGGAAACATGGCCATAAAAGCGGAGCTGTTGCCCCCATCCCCTGCTGCAAGGGGGCTGGTCCAGCTTGTCATGATCTGAACTTTTGCACCCGCCATGGCACTGAAGCGGTGGATGAACCAAACCCGAAAACTGCAATGACATTCTCACGTCCGCATGTTATAGTCTGCAACCATCTTCCGACATTAACCTGCCCAGGTCAAATTTGGGCAGCCCTGCTCTGAAGCCAAAACCTGCAGGATTGACATCTGCAACACGACCGCATGGCCCAAAACAGAGGCTTCGTACATCACGATCCCGTGTCAACAGTGACAGCCGAACCTTCAGGAGTCCTTGACAGACTGGGCCAAGTCCTCCATGATCTCCTGCTTCTTCGTTTCAGCCATGGCCCATGCCACTGATGGAAAAAGCTGCATGGACCGAAGTCTACAGCGCTCCCCGGTCGCTGAGAGTAGGCAGGGATCGCTTCTTTTTCCAACGTGACTACTCACACTCATATGCCTCAATGTAGTTTCTGGCAACTTGGACCAAGGCTAACCAACTTCAGAACTCGCACTTCAGAAGGCTGAACTAGCCAGTGACGGTGACATGCAGACTCACGGAGTAAACAGCTGCAAGGCGGCGACGACCCTATTGGACATTGCAGCGGTCATCTCAAGCTGTCGTTGGTGCGCAATAACTCACGTGCTCAGCTTAAGTGACAGCTCCCAGCAAGAGCTCGTCCTGACCGCGATCTGCGGGTGCGATTCTCGCTTTTTCTGTCATCAAACAGGCAGCCCCTCCAGCCACTCCTGGGCTGCAGGTGAGCATGCAAGAATCATCACCCTTGCGCGTAGTAGGGGCATGGCACAAGAAAGTACGCGTGGAATAAAATCGAACCGATGGGGTTTGAGTTGGAGTGAAAGAAGCCAAAGTGAAGGTCTAGCACCAAAAACGGCATGCTCCCTGGACATACTGCGGATATTAACATGACAAACGTTCCACAGCTCACGGTTGGCGTGACTCGAGCTACAAACGCCAGCTCCCAACTCCGAGCAGCTCTCAACCTCATCCCAAGAAGCAACCCAAACCACCAAGCTGCTATCAAATCCCCTGACACGCTCCCTACACCGCAGCCTAACAGCATCAAGTTCCACGCGCCCGTGACCTTCCTTTTACAAGAATGCACACTGGTCGCAGGCAGGCGGCGCAACGAGGTCGCAACTTCTAAGCTGCTGGCCTCGTGCACCCCACCTGCTAGACGTCTTCGAAGCTTGGAAAAGAATTGGGTGGCGAGGGTGGGTTTTCAAAAGGCAGGCACCCCCCCTGCCCAACCCTAGCTTGCGCGGCTGCGGAAGCGGTCGCAGCCGTGTCATTACGTGCACACGTGCACTACAAGACACGCTCCCTACACCGCAGCCTAACAGCATCAAGTTCCACGCGCCCGTGACCTTCCTTTTACAAGAATGCACACTGGTCGCAGGCAGGCGGCGCAACGAGGTCGCAACTTCTAAGCTGCTGGCCTCGTGCACCCAAAGGTGCGACGACTGCGGCCCTCAACCATAAAATTCGCACCTGAGGCCCTCAGCCCACAGACTTAGCATGGGCAAACGAGGGGACCTTCCTGCACGGCTCTCAGTAGGGCATGAAAGACGGCGTCCCAATCCTGCTGCAGCCAAGTCCAGCCTTGTCGTTCGGCTTCTGAGAAATCGAAGCGGCTCACTTGGTCGCTGATGTTGGCTGAGGAAGCCACGCGTTGCCACTCTGGCCGGAACTCTGCCTCCTCGAAAAATCGCCAAGCCACCTGCATCAACTTGTTCACGTTGATGTCCTTGCCGTAGCCCTTGACGAGGGCTCGTCGAGAAGGCTCGTTGTCCATGAACATGAGAAGCTGCTTCGGCAAGTGAGCCTTCAACACGAAGACGGGCAGGATCTGCGCTATCGCTTCCAGAATGAAGATGTATGCTCGTTTGGAACAGAAATGTCTCGTGAACCAGTACGGCACGCTGCCAGCTGCATACCACGTGTGTTGCTTGGTTTTGACCACGAAGCCGAAGCCATTGTAGAAGGCTGCCGGGTTGCTGTCGCCCCAATCATGGCCGGCCTCCGCATCTGCGATCTTGATCACCTGGCCATTCAGTTGGAAGAAGGCGTCCGCATAGATGATGGCTCGATCCGCTGCTGCAAACGGGATCTTCCGTGGTTTTTGCGTAGCAAGTGCGAAACGAAGGAACTCAAGTGCACTTCTCAGTCCAGGGCTGAGCTTCCATCCAACCTGAGACGACTTGTAGTACGCTGCAGCTGCTCGTTGGTGTAGAGGGCGAAGTGACGCTCTGCTGGATTGGCCAAACAATGACTGTGCCACAAACTGTAGTTTCCCCGCCAGCGACGCGACGGTGTCAATCTGTCTTCAACAAGGGCCTCTGCGATCTGGTTGTCCAAGCGGGTGACCCTCTCCTTCGTCGCCTGCACCAAGACGTGGTCCTGATAGGCTGTCAACTCCACGCCTTGTAGTTGCTGAGTCTGGGCCGGCGGCTGAGCTTTGGATGACTTGAAACGGAAGCCCAAATCAGAGCCCACGCTTTGCACGCTGACAAAACTGGCGCATGCTTCTTGCTGCGTTTCCGAGGCACCAAAGTCATCTGCAAAGTGAAGCGCCGGGGACAGGAGCATGCAGCGAGTAGCCCATGCAATCCAATCGGCTACACGACAGTAGCCCCACACGCTTGCCACTGAACCAAACATCAGAACCCGGTGCCTCCATAACGTGGGCCCCCTCGGCGTTTGCAATACAACATATGTGTCATCGGGCCGCTGTACTGGAAGCTGACGGTAGGCCGACTCGTGATCCAGCCCCCACGTCGCTATGACTCCGTGCTGTCCTTGCCGTCGAAGTGCCCGTATGACCGCGATGAAAGCCTCGATGCTGTGGTATGCTGGCGTGTCCGGCACATTGATGGTTTTGTTGCCGCCAGAGCGTCTCCAATCTTCCGCTCGGCGGACTTTGCGACGTCCGTCTGATCCGACCTGCTGAACCGAAAAAGCAAAGCAGGTGTGCTCATGACATGCTGGGGCCGGCAGGAGGTCGCTTGTGTGGGCGTAGTCTGGTAAAGCAACCGCTGCCTTGTTCCATGACGACGGTGCCGCGAAAGGGCCTTCCATCCTGCCGGCTTTCACCTCCGCTGCAATCTCTTCGGCCATGACCTGCCAAAAGGGATCTACCCTAGCTCGCTTCAACTTCTGCTGCACGTAGTGGAAGTTGTCTGTGAGGAGCGTCTCAAGGTCGATCGGGTCGTTATACTGGGACAGTGCTCGAGAAAAGGGAGAACCAAGACAACCCTAAACCCTCAAGCACGGACGCACACATTTTCACGCGAGTGGGTAGCACGACACTCCGTAGTGCAGCACGGCAGACATGCCAGTGCTCGAGGAGTTTTGGAATAGCATGTGCCACAACCCAGCATGGGCGCACAAGACTTACCCTACCCCGACCTATCGTGCCGTAGGGTGGCAGCGGGCGGGGCACGATGAAAGACACTGCAGTGGCCACAGTTGGCAGCAAACACACATGCAGAAACTCAAAGAGCCTGCAGAAGCAGCAACTTGCGAGGACACGAGTGAACACGCAAGCCAAGGGCACGCAAGAAGGCAGGCACCCCCCCTGCCCAACCCTAGCTTGCGCGGCTGCGGAAGCGGTCGCAGCCGTGTCATTACGTGCACACCTGCACTACAATGAAATGGGTTATCATTACAGCTACCCAACTTATAACCCCTTACAACTACTTCCGGAAGTCCCTAAACCCAAAACCCCAAAAGCCTGACCCCACTTATAACTTCCGGAAGCCTGGGGCCGCCACCGAGACCAGCTGGCTCTGAAGTGGAGCTCGGCTCACAGCATCGGCCTGAAGAAGATGAGGGCTTCGGGTTTAGTGTAGGAACCTATAGGGGTACTATAAGGCATCTATAAGGGTATCTAGAGGGGTACTATATGGCATCTATAAGGGTGATCTAGAGGGGTACTAGAAGGGATCTAGAGGGGTACTATGTGGCATCTATACGGGCACTATAAGGGATCTAGAGCGGTACTATAAGGCATCTATAAGGGTACTATAAGGGTAAATGTAGGAACCTGGTTAAGAAACCTTGGGCCTTTATTAGGGTTCCTTAAATGAAGCCTACTATTTTGGGGGTTATGGGCCCAGGGTTTCTTCATCAGGTTCCTATATTAGGGGCATTTGGCGCTTAGGGCCTTAGGGCGTTGGGCTTTTAGGGTTTGGGGCTTTAAGGGCTTGGGGTTTAGGGTTTGGTTCAGAATTCCGGGTCGGTTAGCTGTGAGATTCAAGGCTCAGCGGTCCAGGAAGGGCTCACGTTGCATGAGTAGTGTTTTTTTGTTTTGCGAAGGCCTCGAGATGCTGGGTCAGCGTTACGGATTCAAGTTCTGAGTTCGTTTGCCAACGATGCCCAATTTTGCCAACGGTTTGCGCTTAGGTGCTCCATGCGGGCTGGGCTCTCGGGTTCAAAGCCTTGGGTATCAAGCACCTCCGAGACTTCGGTGCTGCCGGCTTTTTGTGCTTAAGCTCCTTGCTCCGTACGGTCCGGACTCCCCAAGATTGGAGTGCCCGATTGCGCCTCACTGGGGATCCAGATCTGGCGGCGCGCCTGGCAGCACAGTTGCTGCAGGTGCTTCGGATCGTTTACTCTGACTATTATCATGCGACTTTGTGCTATAATTGTGGCTAGGCAGCCTGGGCACCATGACCTCCAAATCCTGTCCTCCCTGAACCTCCACAGCAGATCCGGACGCGAGGCCCAACCCAAAACTGATGGACCCTGTTCCTGCAATTTCCACAGCTTGGTGAAGCAGGCGGCGCCTTGGTTCCCGGAGGAGACTGAACAGGCGCCGCCTATGCGGAGAGAATTGTAACAGCAACAATGCTTGGAATAATCATCGTAGTAACGACTGCAAGAACAGTTACTACTGATCGAAATGATGGTGGAATAGTGGAAGTCACGCTCTTACAACACTTACTTTTTCATGAAGAAAACTACGGCCACCACCACGACTCTCGTATCGTCGGTCCTTCAATCCGGAATCCCATGCGGATGCCTTCGGCGCGGCCTGCACTTTCCCAAACTTGCTTTCCCGCGCCTTCCGGCCTCGGGCCGCATTCGTTGCGCTCCAGAGACCCGAAACCCTTACGTCGAAAGGAAGCTCGAAAACTCACCGGCCCTAAACTCCACGACCCTCAAGCTCCAGACCCTCTCCCTTCGTCCCAGAAGCCCAAGGCCCTTAAACCCAGACCCCTCACCTGAATGCCGAAGCCCTGACTCCCGCACCCCTGAACCATCAACCACTGACCTTGAACCGTAAACCTCACTCTTGTCTCGATATCGCACGGACGGACCGAGGCTCAGTCGCTCTTCTTCGGGTGACCAGGTCCTCGGCTCAAGGCGGTTTTAGTTGGTTTGGCGTCAAAGTTTCTTTTCTTAAATGCCGTGTTCCACGTGCCGGGTTTACGGTTCAGGCTTAGTGTTCAGGTTTGTGGCTCCGGGGCTGCCTTTGGGCTATTTTTTGCGACCTCCTTTCGTCGCGCAGGTTGGAATGCCAGGTTGGCTGAGCCTGCGGGGCTGCTTGGGAATGTAGGGTTTACGTTTAGGGCAAAGGAATGTCGGGAGCTGGAGGGCCATCATGTTTTCCTGACTTCGTTTTGCTGTTTTCCAGCTTTTGGTCCTATAGGTGGAGATTATAGGTTGGACATCTCGGCTTACAGCTTAAGGCTCGCTACGGAGTTCCCATACCGCCACGACTGGCACCCACAACTAAGCTTCGCCCGAGACAGAAAAATTGCTGTTGCACTGAACCCAAATGTGCTTCCATTCGACCATGGGCCCGGGGAAGCCTGAGAATTGCATGAACCAATGCTTCTAAAACAAAGTGCTGCAACACTCTAAAAGACCGTAGAGGGTTTGCTGTCTCTGCATCCACATGACCAACAAGCTGTGAACCACCCCTGAAGCTTGCATGTCAACCCATGAAGCGTAACAACCAAGTACCTACGCTCTATGTCGAACCCGCACGTACGTGCATCCATCCAGCCATGCATGCATACGTGTACATGCAGACAGACAGACAGACAGACAGAGACAGACAGACAGGCCGACAGACAGAGAGACAGACAGATATGCGGCTGTCTGCCTGCCTGCCGACTTACATACACATACAAGCACACACGGTCACCTCTGCATATGCCCCTGCAGACACACACACACACACGGACACGGATGAAGACGCAGACTCACTGCGGATAGTAATACAGACGCAGATACAGACACATACATGCATGCATACATACCCACATGCATACCAAACATACCAGTTCATGCTTAAGGATAGTGAAAGGCTAACACAAGGTTACTTGATCTTATTGATGCTGATACATGCTGATACATGTGCACGTGTATGCCTGCTGATTGTTCAGGAATTGCCTGTGCCATCCTGGAAACGGATATTGATATAGAGTTCTCCCTGAGCAGTTGAACTCGAGGCCGAGCTTCTTGGCGCAGTTCGGGCAGATGTCGAATCGGCAGAAACTCGGCAAAGGGGCAGTGCTGAGACTCGACAACCGAAAGAGAAAGAGAGAGAGAGAGAGAGGGGGAGGGGGAGAGAGGGAGAGAGGGAGAGAGGGAGAGAGAGAGAGAGAGGGAGAGAGGGAGAGAGGGAGAGAGGGAGAGAGGGAGAGAGGGAGAGAGGGAGAGAGGGAGAGAGGGAGAGAGGGAGAGAGGAAGAGAGGGAGAGAGGGAGAGAGGGAGAGAGGGAGAAAGGGAGAGAGGGAGAGAGGGAGAGAGGGAGAGAGGGAGAGAGGGAGAGAGGAGAAAAGAAGGTGCATGGGGATGATGGGCGGGACCGAAGCTGTCCGTTTTCCGTTCTCCTCTGCACAGAAAGAAATCACGGCAGAGTTTGTAGGCCGTGTGGCTGATGGCAGAGGCCGGAAACAATCCGAGTTTGCACCTCAATCGGACTTCCTGAAGCCATCCCGATGTCATGATATCGATTAAACTGATTCCCGCAGAAACTGAGCCCCAAAATCTTCTGGCACTTGAGGATGCGCCTGCAGTGGAAGTAGTGCGTCAGCTTCCTGAGCGTGGGGGTGCAACGCTCATGAGGTTCTGAGAAATCCTTGAAGGTCCGAGGCATGGACTGCTTGGTGCAGAGTTTTGCCAGGTGCTCCCGGCCGCAGACGTCACAGCACGCCTTTCCATGTCGAGCCGAAGTTTACAAAACGGATGGAACCTGTTGGACAGCTCACCTCCCGCTTCTCGATAGCTCCTGTGCGAAGGTGCCTCGTTCTTGTAGGCGGGCGGATTGTCGGTGCGCTGGCCCATGGTGTGGCCCTTTTTGCACCTGCCAGATGGGACGCAGGATCCGCAAGCCCAAAGCAGCGATCGCTGGCTGATTTCTGATTGGGCATGTGCACCCGCAGCGATCTACCAAGCCTCAAGCCCACCTTCATTGCGCGCGGGCCTGTACAACCTATGCTTGTAACAACAAGAATTCCCTGCGACCCCGCCGCATGGCACCCTTCGGCCTTGGCGGCTCCGCTTCAGGAGCCTGGATGGAAGGAGAGATTGACGTCAGATCGCTGGACTTGGATATGGCGTCGGGAATGGGGGCTCCGGCATGACGACTTTGAGGGTTTCAGGCCGTGAGGATTCCAGCGCTTCGAGACATCCAACAATACGATCGAAAAGAGCAGCATTGCAACCTGTCCCCTTATGCCACTGTCACAACCACCAGCACGCACCAACACTGCTGCTGTGACCCAGCCAAAAGTGGCTGTCTGATCCTTACTGTGATCTTCAAAGCCCTTTCCCAAAGTCTTCATGAGCGAGTTTGATATGTTGGCCCCGTGCCACACAAGACGGAGAATGTCCCCTGCTCTAAGCACCTTCCCCTGAGCTCTGCTACACCTTTCACCGGACCTTGATGACCAGCAACGAATATCTCAAGAGAATAGGAAACCCCTCGCCGACAAGTCCCTTCCCCCCCAAGCCCCCTGCCTGCTTCTCTTCTTGGGTGCCCCTGCACACGCAAACACCGGGCCATGACTGATGCTTCGACAGTTCGGAGTAGATGCTGAGATTCTCAGGTCCGTCGCACATCATGCTGCATCAAGAAGAAACACTGCAAGCAACGCTGCAAAGCATCACTGCAACTTGAGTATGAAGAGTAAGGATCTGTAAGTATGGGCCATGGCACCTCAGATAGAGTCACCTCAAGCGAAGCCCTGGAAGCTCTAAAAGCCTTCGCAAAGCTTCCCCAATAAAGAGACAAGACCCGTCCTCCTCCGTTCGCGGACGCGCTTCTTGGAGGGCTCCTCCTTGTCCTGGTGCAACTCCGGGAGTCTTAGGCTGAGCCCTTCTGGGTCTGCGGGAATCTTCAGCGCGTGTACGTATGGACTTTTCCCGCTTCCCATCTGCAGGTTCGGTCGGCAGCCCACATGGTCCTCTTCTGTCTCATGGGCTGCAATGGCGACAGGGGCTTCTCACACAATTGCAGACAGCATGCACACCCAAGTTGTGATGCATCGGCCGCGTCTGAAGAAGCCCCCCGCGATCGAATTCTCGAACAGCTAGAGCGTGCATTATCCGGAATGCTGGATGTCCTGTGACATCAAGAAAGCAGTGTCCAGAACTTGGCTTGCCGCCCCTTGAGTCTTTGGGGCGCGTGATTGAGACGAGCGGGGAAGCTCCCCTTAACAATCCTAACTTCAGCCTTTCCGGAGAGCGGCTCACACGGCACAGCACTCCATCGTCAAATCTTCTGCGCCTGGAACTGGATCGGAAGGGATGCGGGGCTTTGTGGAGTGCTGTTGGGCTTCTACAGTCTGCTCGAGCTGCTACGCACGCGTTCGTGGCCTGTGTTCAACGTCTAATTGAAGTGGAATACAAGCTGGGAAAGGAGAGGCATCCGTAACAAGCAGTCGATCCTTGATTGCCTCCCAACCCCGCAGTCTCGCCACAAGTTTGCCTGATGCATCGTCGTCTTCCAGGCACAGCGGCAGCTTGGGCACCACCTCGGGGGTGCTGGCCGTGGCTGCTGCAGTTCTCGGAGCATGTGGCATGAACTGGCATTCCTGCAGAAGTTGCACAAGCTTGGCTAGGGATTCAGAGGATGCCCACACAAAATGCATCCGGTGCTTTCCGTCCTTGAAGGCAGGAAGATCCTCGCAACTCCCTTCATATTCGCAAACCCAACAGTCGAAGCTTCCCAAACGTCCCTCCACTCCAGCACCTTCGCATCAGGGGGTCGTGATTCGCCGAGGCCCCAAAGCCTCAAAGATCAGATCAAAAGGGCTATGGATCAAACGTCGGGTTCGTTGTAGACTCTGAGTGACCCCTGGAAGCAAGCGTTTGCTATGATGTCACGTAGTCTTGAAGCCTGATGCCTGTGAGTGATCCGCAGTGCCCTCTTCATGAATTGAGGATCCCTTCAAAATCACTCATGGCATTTTGTGCCCAGGGGCACGCGCAGCTTGGCGAGAACGTCCGGGCGGGCTGGAAGAAGCGCCTAGAGCTGCAAGCTTGTGTTGCATGGATTTTGGGTGTTTGAAGTGTCTTTCGTTGGGGCTGCACAGCTGGGTTTCAACTTTGCTTCATGTCAAGGGTGAACTTGTGGACATGCGAAGTGTGGATTGCATGAAGGCTTCGGATCTATACCGCGGTTCCGTTATGTGCTGACAAGGTTCCACAGGTGCTGCAGGGCGCTTTGACACAACAGCTGAGCGCACAAAGGCATCGCATAAAGAACCGAAACCCTGAGCCCCAAATAACCACCGAGCATGCCTTGACGAGCTCGACTGACCGTGCAACATCTTGACCACCCAACACCCAACACCCCGACCTCGAACGCCAGAAAAGATCCCCAAAACACTTCCTAAACCTCAGCCACGCCGTCAGAAATCCAAAACTAAACCCCAAAACCTAACAATGCCATAACCCTAAACCCGAAACCCGAAACCTCCACACAAAGCCCCCCTGCTTCCCAGCGCGATCCCAGGGCGCCGAGATGTCGCCGCCCAACTCCTGGAGTCGCCAAGCCGTGCCTCGGGGCCGGGGGTTCTGGGATGCACGGAGCCTGCAGAACGTCTGAAGGTTTAGGGTTGAGGGTTTAGGGTTTAGGGAGGCCTTGGCATGCCTTGGCCAAAGGAGACTTTAGCTTTGGTACTGCTTTGGTGGAAGGAGACTTTGGTAAAAAAAGAGACAGAGCAGAGGATTTTCGCCTTCCAGCCCTGAACGCAGTCAAACCTGTAAAGGATATGATAACCTCGGAGAACTTTCTGATATTCTGAATCTGAAGTGAGATCACATGGGCCGAAGCTGAGGGCGAGGAACGACGCAGTGCGATGCGGCGCCGCGTGGCGGCTTCTTGCGTGCACCACCTGCTGGCGTCTGTTGAGGGGGTGCAAGTCGACAAGGGGGTTCCGAAACTTCGGAACCCTTCATCGAACCCGCGTCGAACCAAGAGCGACAGAAGATGCTCGACAGTGCTTGGGGTTCGACATTCATGGGACCCATCAGAGCGTTGGCATGGTAAGCTGACCACGGAGCAATGTGCCAAGAGCCCAAACAACCAAGCTGAACACTGCGATGTAAAGCAGCGCATTGCAACATAATGCGGGTATAATGCGGTATGCAAGGCCTACAGGCGCTATGTCCTACTGCAGGCAAGGCAAAGCCCGGTCAGAAAACGGGAACCGTAGGCATGCATGCATACAGCACATATGTATGCTGCATCCCAGTCATGTATGTTAGCACAGCGAGCGAGTTGCATCCGGAATCACGCTCTTGACTTCAAAAGCACTGCAGGCCAATGTCTGGTATGATTCACGTTAGATCCACAAGCCCTCAATGCCCACGACCATCTGCCGAGGGACGCAATCTGGTCCAGCTGCGAGCCGCGTGATGTCTGCCTGTGCTGCAACATGAACCGACCAGCCAACGTATCCCCGTCCTCCAGGGTTTAGGGTGTGGGGCCCAACATAGCCCAACCCACGTAGCCTCCGCAGCCTGGAATGCTTTGCAAGGGTTTTCAAGAGAGACAAGCCGCTGGAGCAAACGGAGCACGTTGTCCAACAGGAAGACGCCACAATCAACACCTCTGGAAAATCAGTGGCCAACACAAAAATAGCTTGGGCGTTCAATGGCTTCAGGTTCTCAAGAGTAGAAACGATTCTCTGATCATGATGCTTGGGTTGATGCTGGCTGTCCCTCTGTGGCCTCTTACACGAATGGCGGCTGATGCAGCTGATGCCGGCTCTGAGTGATGCTACCTGTGGGACTGATGCTGGCTATTTCTCCTGACGTACATAAGATGCTGTTGATTCTGATGATGCCCGCATTATGTGCGGCAGGTGGCGCGATGCTGGGATGATGCTGCCCGTCGGCTGCGTATCAGACGCTGAGCGGCTGGTGCTGATGATGCTGGCCCTCTGTACGAGGGGTGTTCATGATGCTAGGATTGATGCCTTTCTAGCGGCTCGGTAAGCTACGGGGAAGGCCAGTCGCGTTGGCGCTGAGACTCTGGCCATTCTCTTGCTCGTCCGACTTCAAGCGAGTCTCCGGTGTAAACCTTCGCAGGCAGGAATGGGCGCGCTTATCACGCAGACTTGCACAAGACGTTGTGGTCGACTGCCCTCCAATGCATCCCCTCCAAGGCACGCCAGTGAGCCGAAATCCATGTCGATGCCGGCTGCGCCACGCTCGGTCCACTCCCTTTGAAGGTATCCTTGCGGGTGCTTTGCGATCGCAATGCATGGCCCAAACCACTAGAATGAATTTGACAGATGTTCGCCACCATGCTCAGTAGATGTGTAATTAGACTAGAGGCATGGACAGGCATCACGCATGTGCCTTGCTGCTAAAACCACGTCGTTGCCCACATGGCCACCTACGCATGACCGGGTCCTCCGAGGAAGCTTAGCACGCCTTGGTAGCGCGAGTCCTGCCGGAAGGGATCTTGACTTTAAAGGCCTTTTAAGGGACCCTAAGGAGCGCTGTAATACTACTCTTTAAGGGCTTTGAGGGCCTCGGGCTTGTTGCGAGCCGCGAGCTTCGTGCTCCAGGCGGCAGCTGTGGCGTTGGAGGTCGTTTTCGAGTGTTCGATTCTGCATCCAAGGTTGGGACGCAAGTACCTGGCTTCCTGATTCCAGGGCAGCTTGTGTACCAGCATTACCGTTGCAACGTATGGCTCTTGCTATCAGCATTGTCGCTCTTCCAAGAGATAGTAGCTACTTCGTAGCAGTGGCCTTATAGTAACATCCCACTATGCCATGCATCCCGTGGTCTCCTCTCCCTCCAGGGAATCCAGAAAGAAGAGCCGGGGCCCTGGGACGTCGAGGCGGATCAACGCCAGCCACCTGAGAGCTCCGGGGGTTCAGGGCTGTGCTTCCGGTGTGAGGTTCGAACTCAAAGTCAGGTCACGGACGGCTTGGAGAATAGAGTTTCTGGCTGCTGTGTGATCAGGGTGAATATTCCAAACGCTCCTCTTTAACAGAAAATGTCCCTCTGAGCCTCTGGCCAGTGCATCTCTGCGTTGATTGGGACGATGGCAAGCTTTCGAGAGAACAGCCTTCCGGGGCTGCTTTACAGGCGTGGGTTTGAAATGAAGATTTCAGTTCTAGTTGTGCTGACAAGGCTTGCCTGCGAGTCACCTTTGGCGAAAGTGCAGTGTGCTGTCGTGGGCCAAGAGGCGGGAAGGAACTCACCGTTAAGAGGCAATTCTGACGCTGGCGAGAAGCGACGTCTTCTTCGTCCACCCCTTCACGTTCTCCCAGCCAATCATTCCATTCGCGGCTTGTGCCGCTGTCAGACGGGTGTAGAAGTGGGTGGAAAAGAGGTGAATGTCACCTGAGGCTTCGGGCGCTGCGCATTTACCAGCAGTCCGGAAATCGCTGGCCGTTTGGCATGTCTGCCAAATGGTCGGTTGCGTACTTCCAGTTTATTGTGCGCATGCCACAAACTTGAGAACACATCTTGACAACCTGTGCCGAGGATCTGTTCGGCAGCAGCTGACTCGTCATCAGCTGCAAGAAGAATTCCACGACCTCGGCTTCGCGTAGAATCCATATTTCAATATGGTATCTTTATGTATCTTTGGAAGCGTTTCAAACTCCAGTCCAGCTTCTGAGGGCCACTTGCATGACACGCAAGGTAGACGAGCTTTGTGGGTGGCCCTCCCTCATCAGGTGAATGAGCATCTGCATGAGTCTCAAACCCTTGACCTTTCCACATGACATGAGGGGCTGCAGATGCTTGAGAAAGTATACGGCCTGACACACGAGAGTTCCCTAATAAAAGCCATCACCGCAAAGCACTGCCTGTTCCCCATTCAGCCACAGGCACTGCGTCATTCAACATGTTACCCTCCTGCGGCATGAATCGAAGCTCCGACTGAGGTTTTGTGCCCGAGCTTTCATGTAGCTCAGCACACATGCCGGAATGGGGTTTTGGAGTTGCGCCTCAAGTACACCCTTCAGGCTTCAGCAGCTGGGGCACGTTTGCTCTTTCAAGGTGAAGGTTGTTATTGTTAGACTCCTCCAGGCAGGCCAGGTCCCGTCGCGTGACGCGAAGGGCGGACCAGCTGAAGGCCTCAGTGCTCAGGCTCTGCGGCGGGATGTTCCGTATTCTGCGACTTTGTGATGGGGTTTCATCATAACAGTCCGGCACCTCATCCACCTCAGGCCCCGGCCACCTCGTCGTCGCAGTTGCACGCTGCTGACCTGAGATTGGGTGTGAGCATTGAGATTGGATTTGTACGAGATTGACCTGAACTGAGGGGTTCGAGGACACTGCACGAACACCTTCCAGTCACATGCTGCTCCCGGAGTGACGCATTGTACGATATACCAAATAAAATAAAATATGGCATATATGACATCGATCCCTACGTGTGCCACTCTTGTTCCAGCTGCTTTCACATCGGTTAGGAAGTCTGCGACATCGACTTCGCTCGAATTCTGTAATCGATATCTCGCATTGCTTGTGGAGACCGACCGTTTCTCGGTCGGTACTCGCAGACACAAAGCAAAGGAAAGCTTAGATTAAATCACTAGGACTGTGCGGGAGGGAAGCCAATTTTGAAAGTTATCTGTACGCCAAAATGGCCACGACGTACATATGAAGCAACACGATCGACGGCTCAGATCCAACAAAGTCGGTCGATTGAAGCATGAAGAGCTGTCACTTCGTACACAAGAGTACTACAGACAATATGTAACATTTATATAACGTATGAAGCCACTGGAGATGCTTGGGGGGGCCATGGGGTTGCTCCCAGGCTCTCACTCGGGTGACTCATGAGCAAAAGCTGTCGCGAAGATGCTGCCGAGTTGCTGTGCCTCCTCGCAGGTACTGCGCCTCCTTCGCGAAAGCCACAGGCCAAGTCTCTCTGATGTTCGACATGGCAGACGAAATTGGACAAACCTTTGTCGGTCCTCTTCAGCGGCGCCTCCACCGGTGCGGCCGGCGCGGCCAATGGAGCGTCGTCAGCAGGTGCAGCTGCAGCGACGGAAAGACTCACATCCTCGACACCTGCAACAGAATCCTTGGATGCTGGGACTTCTGTCGGCTCTGTGGACGCCTTCGGTCCACGTGCCGACTTTGCCTGCTTGGGCGCGGCTTTCGAAGCCTCCATTGAGGATCCCTTTGCGGGCTCGGCCGACGGCTGACCCACAGCCGCCAGCAAACGCCGTGTACCTTGGCGCGATGGCACACCTCAAGCCCTTTTACTCGTGGGGATCTGTACATAAGAGCCGGTGGAAGAGAGCCTATGGGTACCTGTCAATATGCCTGCTGGGGCTCAGCAAAACCTTTGAAACCTTGTCTGGAAAACCTTGTTACGCTCGCAAAACCCACTGCTCATTCTGATCCCAGCAGCCCCCGGGCCGTGGCGTCTTCGCAGGCGACAGCCGCTGTGTCTCCAAGGCCCGCTGCTTCCCAGCCGGCGAACCGGAGAGGAGCTCGGGAAAGAGCACGCGCACCTGGTGGGCATCGAGCGGTGCGCGACGGCTTTTTTTATAGCGAAGGGGCCGTGAAGGTTGAGGCGAGGCATAGGGCGTCCTGCCAGTTTGCAACCCTGGAGAGCTCGAAATACCCAAACAGATGAACCTCCCTCGCAACATACCGAGGCACACGAACCATCGCGAAGAGCGAGCAGTCAGCCGCAGCAGCAAGTGGCAGCTCTTGGCCCAAAGGACGCCCCAAAGATCATCTTCTGGTTAGTAGTGGGGATAGTTCCTAGCCCCTAGCCACTGCATCGACAATTTGAGCTTCTCAACCGCGGGCCCATCGCAGCCACTTCAGCATGCAAGCGCATTGACCCAGGACGGCTGCGAACTCTGCACCTGAAAGCCTTTTACCAACACCGTGACACCCGTAGTGTGCAGCGTCACCGCAGCCCTGGCCTCGTGCCACAGCCCTGCTCCAGGAAAGTCTTTGCCCGTACATCTTAACTACTGGAGCACCTTGCGACCCAACTCCTAAGTCCTAAGCCGAAACAGATGATTTAGGGTTCTCTTTCACGGCTCCTGCTTCGGTGCCTTTCCCGCCGGGCCCTCGCTGGCCGCATTCCGCTTGGCTTGCCCTGGCCTGGCTTCGGGATTTGGGGCTCAGGGGGTCTAGGGTTCAGGGTACTCCGTAGGAAGAAGACTCTAGCCGGGATCGGGCGACACGACAGAAATAGACGAGCACAGCGAGATTGAAGTGAAGCCCACTGGTGAGAGCTGCTGCCACAGGCACACTGCTTTCGAGCCTCAAGCGCTTCTTGCCCTTCTTCTTGGCCTGCGAGAGGAATTAAACAGCGCAACGTGCCCTCCCCTGCCATGGAACCTCTGCAATAGATTGCAAAACTATCTCACAGCTAAATGAGAAACAATACACACTCAATACACACGAAATACCGCAAGTTCATCCCAGGCCTCACGACATCCTCTGACCGATGCCCCCAACCCTGACTCTAGAACGTGCCACTTTAAGACACCACACACACCACACACACCCGGAGCCTGAAACCCGAAAAGCTAAAAAGAAAAACAACACAACCCGTGCTTCTTCGTGGCCAGACCTGGCCAAGGATCGGCGCCGGCTTCGGCGCAGGCTTTGCGGCAGCAGGGGCCGGAAGGCCTTTGGCCCTGGGAGTTTGGCTTCACAAGATCGGAACTTCGGGTAACTAAGTGTCAAAAATGTGTTGGCATTATGGGCGTATGAATGTCCTGTTTGTGGTTGTGCTCCTGGCAATCGGGCTTTTCTCGCTTTAACAACAACCGCCTGGAACCTGCGACCCAAACTGCATCCAGTAGAAACCTGTTTCAGCATCATCGGTCCGAGACCAAACTGACATTCGCAACAAGGCCAGCATCATCAACATCAGACTGTCTACCTCTTTGGTAATCCTAAAACAAGTCCAGCATCATCAGCATCAGCTTGTCTACATCCTCGAATACCCACCAACGAAGGCCGGGGTCACGCGCATCAGACTGTCACACATGGTCTGAAACCTTCCAACGAAGGCTAGCGGATAGCATCATCAGAATCTAGCTGTCTGCATCTCCGAATGCCTAGAATCCAAGGCCACCATCATTAGCAACAGCACATGTACATCTTCGAGACGCTCCAAACACTACAAAAAAAACAAAAAATATAAACATCTTCAGTTATTACAGCATGCCAGCATCATCGGGATCGCGTCTGAGTCTTCTTTTCGCATCATCACCGTCTGCTAGTTTACATCTGCGAACACCCAGGCCGAATCCGGCATCATCAGCATCAGCCTGTGCTCCGCTCTGACACACCAATCAGTCTCCTCAGTAAACGCCCCAACCGAGGCCAGCATCGGACACCCCGAAACACCACGGCCGACATCATCAACAACAGTATGCCTAGATCTTCGAACGCCCCAAACATAGAGCCCGGCATCATCCTGTGCGCCTGTTTACGTTTTCATGTTCGAACACGTCCAAACCAAGACCGGCATCATCAGCATCGCGGCTAGACCTTCGTTCGCGCCCACACCCAAGCCAGCATCATTGGCGTCAGCCTGCTTCCATCTACTAAAGCCCCAAAACCAAGGCCAGCATCATCAGCATCAGCCGGTCTACTGCTTCGAGCACCTCCAAGTCTGTGATCAGTCAGCCACTTCATTCGACCCTAGAAAGCCTAGCATCAGCATCACCTTCATCTTTGAGCAACCGCGGACCAAAAGCCGACATCATCAGCATCAGATTGTTTGTATCTTTGCATGGCAAACCAAGCCCGGCATCATGAGCATCAGCCTGTCTAACCTCCAACCAAAGCCCACCATCCTGCCGTGTGCCTGTCTACATCTTCCAGTTCGAACACACCCAAGCCAAGGCTGTCATCCCACACCAAGGCCAGCATCATCGGTGTCAGCTTGTTTGCCTTTTCGATCACCCCAAAACCAAGGCCAGCATCATCAGCATCAGCAGGTTTACTTTTTCGAACACCGCCAACTCAAAGCAGCAGCTTTATCAGAATCAGCCTGTGCTGCAGGCAGCATCAGCAACATGCTGTATCCTATGACGAACCTGACCCGGGCCAAGCTCGGAAGATTGTCTATACTGTCCAAAGACCTCCAAACGGCACCATCACGTCCGCCTGTCTACGCCAACTTAGGCCGGCATCATCAGCATCAGTGCGGCGACATCTTCGCACACGCCCACACCAAGGCCAGGTTAGGCCAGCATCATCAGCACCAGCTTGCTTTCATCTTCGCAAACCCAAACAAACAAGGCGAGCATCATCGTCAGCACCTTGCTTTCATCTTCAAGAACCCCGGACCAAAGCCGACATCATCAGCATCAGATTGTTTGCATCTTCGAAGTCCGCAAACGCAGGCCTGCATCAAACCCAGGGCCACATTCTTCGCAACAGCCTGTCTACACCCCATACAAAGGCTAAGATCATCAGCATCCGCCCGTACACCCGCAAACCAAGCCCGGCATCATCAGCATCAGCCTGTCTACGGTTGCAACAACCTCCAACCAAAGCCCTGCATCCTGCCGTCCGCCTGCAAGGCTCTCACACCGCCTGTCTTCTCTTCAAAGATCACATGAGACTACGCCCAAAACCAAGGCCAGCATCATCAGCATCAGCCGGTCTACTGTTTTGAACAATGCCAATCAAAGCAGGCTTCAATCAGCATCGGCACGTGCTCCAGCATACCAACGCCAACATCACCAGCATCCGCCCATACACCCCGCAAACCAAGCCCGGCTACAGTTTCAAAAACCCCGATCAAAGCCCACCAGAGCATCCTGCCGTTCGAACACGCCAAGGCCAGCATCATCGGCGTCAGCCGGTCGTCTACTTTTTCCGCCAAGCCAGAGCAGCACCGGACACCCCAAACCAGTCAGTCTCTTCAATCATTTTGAAAAGCCACATCGATTCATCGAAAACCGATACACCGAGGCCAGCATCATCAGGATGAGTACGAGATTTGCCTGTTTCCTGTCAAATCTTGGGTACATTCATGGGCTGACACTGACCCTGACGGAGCCATGCATGCCCTGTGCCCGCCCTCATCTTGGGACGTTGGAATTTCGGCATGATTTCGGACGTTTTTCGGTGCCTGTGATGATGTATGCTGATGATGCCGACTCCATGGAATCGAGACAGCTGCTGGGTCTTCTGCGGATGCTGAAAAACAAAAGCAGGCTAATGCCCGGTGTAGGGTTTAAGGGTTTAGGGGTTTAGCGTTTAGGGTTTAGGGGTCTAGGGGCATCGCCTGTTAAATTGATGTTGCTAACACGCAACTGCAGCAGCTTGTGCATGATGCAGATGTGCTGGGCGGAGCGCTCATGCCACTTCCCAATCATAATTAAACCCTAAAGCTTTGTGAATTCCTTGCAGAACCCGTACGGGTTCCCTAAGAGGAACCCTAAACCCCATGCGGTCTTAGGGGACCCGTGCACCTGACCTGGAGACCGCGGCTTTCTTCCGCTCTTTCCGAGTCATCTTTGGGGCACCCTGGGCATGGGAACGAACTTTGTGCTAACGCGTTTCTGGCATGCAAGGATCGAGGTTTCAGGTCTGCCATTCGAGGGGTTGGCGGTTTAGGGTTAGGGCTAGGGTTTGGGGGCTATGAGCTAGGATTCGGGTGAATGTCACTGGGGCTGCTGCGGTGGCATCAAGAAGTGTCACCATGCCCCCAACACTTAAAGGATACGAAAAGGCAAGGCAAAGGGCAGTGAGATGCCTCTTCAAGAGTTGGGTGGGCACCCAGTACTTCATCGCAGGTAGCTGAGGGAATCTCATCTTGAGCTTGGTTCTGTAGCTCCACCGCGCTGCATCTATAACACTGCTGCCCAACAACCCAATGCCTGCGTCCTTGACCCAAAAAGTCTTTCGCTACCCTTCCAAGTAGCTCAAACCCCACGAGCCCCAACCCTAAATCGTAACTGCAACCCTCTAACCCCAAACCCCACGCCCTGGCCCTAAACCCTAAACCCCTAAATCCCTAAACCCCTAAACCCTAAACCCTAAACCCCAAACCCTAGGCCCTGGCCCCTCAACCCGGAACCTCAAAGCCAACCCGAAGCCTAAAACAAACTCCCCGGTGCAGGCCCAGGTGCCGGAGGCAGCGAACCTTTCCCTTTGCCCTTGCCTTTCCCTGCGACACCGGCATCGAGGGCTTTGGTTTCTGAACGGCCCTTTTACAACAGCTGGATGAAGCCATGCTCCTGATTCGGGAGAGCCTGTGGAGACGGGATACAGTAATGAAACTTCCGAATAGGGTTTAAGACTCGTCAGATGCAGGTTTGCAATGTTCACACCTCAAAAAAATCAGTGGTTGGTCTAGGGTTATTATTCTAGCTATTCCATGAGGTTGTGGCACACAGAGCGATCTCTCGGCAGACCCATGCTGGTTTCGCAAGTCTTGCATGATACGCCTGGCAGCCTACTGCACAACTATGCGGGACAGCATCTGGCATGCCAATACGGAGTCTGGTAGGAACCACTGCAACATCATCTAACCCTTGCAGCATCTCTGCAGTGCAGTGTCCTCCCGTTATAGTTATAATCCCAGTGATTGCCCTACACTATGCCTCCGAAAGCCTAATTCACTGCACTATATGCCGGCACCCACTAGACTTCGCTTAAAGCCGGGGCGGCGGCCCTTCCCA